TATTATCTTCAACATGTCATGAGCCCATTCTTGGGCTATATGCTTGTTGACACCATTTTTATGTATCTTTTATTTCCAGGTGCCTGGGTGGCTCAGATGGTTAAGCGTCTGCCTTCAGCTCAGGTCATGATCCCAGGGTCCTGGGATCGAGTCCTGCATCGGGCTCCCTGCTCAGCGGGGAGCCTGCTTCTCCCTCTGCCTCTCTCTCTCTGTCTCTTATGAATAAATAAATAAAATCTTAAAAAAAAATAAAGAAAGCTTTATTTAAAAAAAAATACATATCTTTTATTTCCCAGGCATTTTTAGTTAAAAAAAAAAAAGCCTCTGCTAATTACTATTGTCAAAGGAATTCTAGATACCATCAATAACTAAGTCGGGTAATAATTTTTTGGTGGGGGAGGGGAGAAAAGGGAGAAACTGCTATTGCCACTGAAATTTTGTCAGGCTAGCATTGTGGGGTGGACAGGCAGTCAAGTTTATCAGAAAGAATCTTTAATTTCACACAGAATACACCCTCCTTGAAGGCTGTTCCCTGACTATTCCTAGAAGCAGCTGGGATTTCTCTTAGTGGAAGAGCTAAATCTGATTTTTAGCTGCTTCTCTCTCCCTCTTTATCTTCTTTTTTTAAGAGCCCAGTGTTACAGGATTTTTTCTCAGTCAGTGCCCATGGTTGTTGGTCACGCTGCTTTGAAGAATGAAGTGTAGACCAGACAGAGTGGTGGGCAGCAAAGCAAGGTTTACTGCGTGACAACAAAGTGATAGTACAAAGCTCCCAAGGACGGAGGGGACCCGAGCTGATTGCCACGGGAGTTTCTAAGTCTAGGGGTTTTTATGCGCTTGTTGGCGGGCTGTTTTAATCTGATTAACCCTCCCTGTGCCTGTCATCCAATCAGGTTCTTGTCATCTATCACATAGGAAAGGGTGGAGGGCTCCTCCCAGGGTGGTGTAAAATCCTTTTAAGGGTGGTTTCCTCTTAGGGTGGGGGCCCCTTGTCCATGCCTGTCTGCCTTCCAACTATCCTTTATCACTGGCACATGCTAGAAATTCATTAACTGCCAAATAAACAAATGGATGGGATTGTGCTTTCACCAGGCTCTATTCCTGAAGTCTAGAGAGCAGGAAGAAGCTGCTTAAAAAATTCTGTAGAATTTAAGTGCCACCAAGTAGGAACAGTCCATTGGCACACTACAGGCGATCTTAGCTTTGGGGCAATCCTTTGTAAGGTCTGTCTTTTTTATTGTGTATATTGTTAAATGCTTTTGTTTCAGCCTCTCCAATCCACCTTCTTTCTCCCTCTCATTTTTTTTTCTTTTTAAATTTTTATTTATTTGAGAGACAGCGAGAGAGGAAACACAAGCAGGGGGAGTGGGAGAGGGAGAAGCAGGCTCCCGGCGGAGCAGGGAGCCCGATGTGGGGCTCGATCCCAAGACCCTGGGATCATGACCTGAGCCGAAGGCAGATGCTTAACGACTGAGCCACCCAGGCGCCCCTCCCCCTCTCATTTTTAAAGAAATTTAACATTTGGGAGGTTCCTACAAGTATTGTGGGTCTTAGGCACTGAGCCTTTTGTGCCTGACGGATGAGTCGTTCTCATTGGTGCTGGGGGACTGACTGTTGAATGTTTTGTTCATCACCACTAGTAAGACTTAAATTGTACCCAAGAAGTAGAAAACTCAAATGCCTACAAGCAGACCAGGTGTGGGGCATTTGTCCACCATGTGTATGGTGAAGGTCTGGTGAACTGGAGTGCACAGCTCCCCTCCCAAGAGGTCGCTGTGGCTTACCTCCACTGAGTTGCCAGACTTTCCCATTTTTCTTTTCTTCTTTCCTCCCTCCCTTCCTTTCTTTTTTAAAAGATTTTATTTATTTCAGAGAGAGAGAGAGAGCGCACAAGCAGGAGGAGCAGCAGAGGGAGAGAGAGAAGCAGGCTTCCTCCTGAGCAGGGAGCCCGATGCGGGACTTGATTTCCGGACCCTGGGACCGTGATCTGAGCAGCAGGCAGACGCTTAACTGACTGAGCCACCTGGGTGTCCCATAGACTTTCCCATTTTTCTTTTCTTTTCTTTTCTTTTTTTTTTTTTTAAAGATTTTATTTATTTATTTTTTTAGAGAGCGAGCGAGAGAGAAACAGCATGAGAGGGTCAGAGGGAGAAGCAGGCTCCCCACTGAGCTGGGAGCCCGATGCGGGACTCGATCCCAGGACCCTGGGATCATGACCTGAGCTGAAGGCAGACGCCCAACCATCTGAGCCACCCAGGCGCCCAACTTTCCCATTTTTCAAGAAATGCTGGAAACCTGGAGTATAAAAACATAAAATCTCCCAATTTAAAAATGCTAGCTCAAATTTCAAAGAACAAAAACCTCCCCGGTTGAACCAAACAAAACACCTTTGTGGATTGCATCTGGCACTACTTTGCAAACTCTGTTGAACAGAGCTGCAGGGAGAGCCCTTTAAAACAGATGACAGGGACTAGAGAACCAACACATTACAAGGAGACAAAAAGCATCGTTTTAGTGTGATCATAAAAAAGTAATCCTAATTGTAGTAAATTGTAAAATTTTCTTACTATTTATGTGTAGTCCCTTGGCAATACTAATTGTGAATCTAATTAAAAATTCCAGATTCTGTAATATTCCATCTGGATGATTCATGCTGTCATCCTCCTTAATCTGTGGTTTGAGTAATAGGGCCAAGATTTTATGACATATATGTGTTGAGGAGAACTTTGCTTGTAACCGTGATTGAGTTTTTTAAAGTGTACTTAATTAGGCCTTAATAAAGGCCTATGTATTACTTATTGTCAGGTCACATTTGTCTGGCTTTTGTTGGGACTTTACTGATGAAAAAGAAGAGAAAGAAGAAGTCTGTGTTCCTTTATTTCTAACTCTTTAGGGGCAAACATTATTTTTGTGAGAAGTAGAACTTTGGGGATTTGAATGAAAAACATGCATTTTTTCTCTTTATAGAAAAGTCAGCCTGCAGCATTGCCGGAACATGACTAGGCACAGCCAGTCCCACTCCTTCTTCCTTCATCTCAGCTGATGATTTCACTTTCTAACCCTAGATTGTAAACAATTAAGGTCTAGTTTGATGAGCATTTTGAGTGGGAAAGTATTAGGTTCCTATGGAAGCAGAAGCAGAGTCTCTCAGGCTTGGTGGGGGAGGGAGGTCTATAAGGCTTCCTGGAGGAAGTGACATCTTCAGTAAGAGCGCAAAATTGATTCGCTTTTCAATTAGAGATCAAGATGAGGGTAGGAGAAGAAGCCCGGAATTGAAAAAGTGTGATAAAACCTGAGACTGGAAATAAATTCAATTGGACTGGAGATTGCAAAGCATCATTCCAATATAATTTCAGTGCATAGCACTTGTCACTTTCTGATCATCTCGTTTGCTTGTTTGTCTGTTCTTCCATCCCCATCTGCTCACACAGAACAGAAGCTGTTAACCTTTACTGAGGGCCTGCCATGGGTCAGATCCCGTAATAAGTACTCCCTCTGTCTCCCCCCAACACCAACCAGCAGACAAAATTTTACTTCTTCAGAGTTGGCTTAAATGTTCCCTTTTCTGTGAAACCTCCCCATCTCTTTACCCAACCCTTACTCTCAGAATTACTTCTTTCAGGGTTTCCACCACTTTGGTCTCTCCTTGCAGCATCAGTTTAATTCTTTTGTTTTTTCCCCCCATTCTTCATTAAGTGTTAAATCATAGGAAGACAGTGATTTTTATTTGTCTCTGTAAACCTCTCAACACTTTGGAAAGGATTTTATACACAAGACGGCACTTAAAAATGAATTAATTAATTAGGGAGAGAAAGTGATGAATCCTTCTTCCTTTCCTGCAGTCCTGAGAGCAATCTTTTAAAACTTTAAGTCTGACATCACAGCCCTACTTAACCCTGTTGGAGGCCACTTTTCATCTCAGACTAGAATTCTAACTCCTAAGCACCCTGCTTACTTTAGGGCCCTCTGTGAACTTGCTCCCACTCATCTCTCCAGTCACGACCCTTTCTATACCTCTTCTAATAAAACTTGACTGCTTATGGTGACTGCACAACGGGCTGTACTGATTCATGTCCCCAGGCTTTTATTTCAACTACTCCCTCTACTTGGAATGCCCTTTCCATTTTCCTTGCCGGCTCAGTTCAGGCATGATCTTCTCAAGCAAGTTTTCCCTCTTTTTTTTTTTAAGTAGGCTTCATGCCCAGTGTGGAGCCCAACGCCAGGTTTGAACTCACAACCATGAGATTAAGACCTATGCTGAGATCAAGAGTCAGATGCGCTTAACCCACTGAGTCACCCAGCCACCCCAAGTTTTCTTTCTTTGAATACAGATCCTATTAAAAAGGTACTAAGTACAGAAAAACTTACGGTGCTCCCCTCCATTTATGTGATTAAAAATGGAAACACTAACCCATGAAGTGTACTTTTAAATGACACACAGCTTACATGTATGCTAGATTTGGAATACTGTATGATTTTCTCTCATTCTCCCGCTCTCTGCTTGTACCCAGTTTGTAGATACCCTAACAGTCTATCGGATAACTCTATTGCCGGATTCTCAGGTTGGGTCAAATGCTCCTTTTCTCCACTCTCCAGGCACCGTTCTATCTGAAAGTAACTTGAGCAAATTACATGTTTGCCTTTCGCACTATGGCGTTAGCTCCGGAGCTGGCGCAGACACCGTCTTTGGCCGTGGAGCGCAGGACCTCCAGTCACCTCCCTAGCCGACCGGTCCGTGTCTTCTTTAAGGAGCCGTTCCCTCCTCACCCAGCAAATTCAACTGCCTCCCACCTACCAAGGGCGGGCGCTGGGAAAAAAGTGAAATATCAGCCGGCCCTGAAAGTCAGGACAAGGAGATTCTCCAAATTCCCGGACCCACAAGTTCCACGGGCAACCGGAACACCCACGAAACCCAGCGGAGTGCTCTGGGCCGAGGAAATTACTGCCACCGGAAGTCACGTGCCACAGCCCCGCCCCAATTCCCTATCTCGGCAGTCGACTATTCAGTCTTGCAGGCGCCTCTGGCGGGCTCCGCTGAAATCCACTCTTTCGGCGCTCGACTCGCCCGTGCTGCTGCGGCCGCCGAAGGAGGGGCAAAGCTCAAGATGGCGGACAAAACGCCAGGCGGATCTCAGAAGGCCAGTTCGAAGGTAATTTCTTAGAGGACTTCATAAGTCAGTGAGTTTATCACTGTCATCTGGGGCCTACAGACGCTTCTGGCCAGCGGGAGGAGATTGGGGTGGGATTCCATGTTCTGGTCACGACTGTAGGCCTGGGCCCCGACGCACTGTGGTGCGCAGGTTGAGAGGCCTGGTGTCTTCCTATAGTCCCAGCCTGGATTCGGCTCGAGACTGGCGGGCCCAGGGTGGGTGGCGTGAGTAGTTCGGCCTGCCTTTGGCATTGGAGTGAAGTCAGGGATTTAGATTGAGGTTTGAAGCCGTGAAAACGCGCCCCTGTATTCCTGTTTGTTGATCTCTTGAGGCCGCCGGACAGCACCTGGGAGAGGCGGGAATCGCTTCCCGGTGCTTAAGTGTTTGCCTCTCTTTCCTTGGTTCTTTGGTTTTAGATCTCACACGCTTCCGGTCTCCCTCAGTTTCCCTCTTGCCCTCCAGGGAATAAATAACATCTAGGGCTGCAAGTTGTGAGGGGAGGACCAATGATGGAGGGACGCGGGGTGGGAAGTGCAGAGGCGGGAGCAGCTCTCCTTTGCAGAGCTGCATCGCCAAGGTTAATGCTACGCTCTACACGTGGTCTTATCTCACTTAAGAGGAAGTACAAAATGAGCACTTTTTTTTGAGGGTGCGTTTTCAGGGACTCGGGGTCTCCTTCATCTTCGTGTTGTGTGTTCCACCGAAAAGAGAATTTCCAAAGACTTGGCAGCCACTCAAGATTGTTAAATAGATTTTGAGCTAACAGGGTACCGTGTGTAACTATTGTGAAACCATTGAGCTGTAGAAGTAGTTTAGCAGTAGTTAGGTGGTGGTTAGCATCAGGTCTTTGTTGCCATCTTGGGCCGGTTACTTAATCATTTTTTACTTTTGAGTTTCTCATCTTGAACGCGATATTAAAAGTAATAGATACTGCCCGAAGTAGTTATTAAGCTTTTTGATGCTAATGCAAGAAGCTGTGTAACACTTAAAAGGTTTTAGGGACTGTTACATCTTGCGGAGCGTGTATGATTATAAATCGGTTATTAGGAAGTTAAGTTTACGGTGGACTGGGAGAGCCCTGCGTTTAGTTTGTTCTGAGAAACAACCCATTTTATACTTGCTTTATCAGTGCCAGATCATAATCTTTATGACATTTTGTGAATGATGTTCATAGTTTGTAATTAGTAATGTCTTTACCCCTCATCCTTTAATTTTGTAGAAACTATGGGAGAGGGCCCGTTTTGTCTGTTTTACATTCTACTTTTACTCCTTGTTAGTTTCTTCACTCCCCAGTACGTTTCCCGTCGGTGTGGAGCGGAATAGTTGGGTACATCATTCAGGCCACTTCCTCAACAGATTCACAAAAACAGCCCTGCTTGCTGCTGTTAGGGAACTAGTGCTAAAGCTACTACACCCGTAATAATTCGCGTATAAGCTTCACAATTTTAGTTTCTTTCAAAGGAATATTTTAAGTACCTCCTACTTGACGCCTTGGATACATTGAAAACATTTTAATGTATATGTTCAGGCTTCCTTCTAAAATATATTTCTTATGGTTGTGAGTGTGTGGCTGTTCCTGTAAGTAAATTGTTGAATCTTCCAGTAGTCTTTTCAGTTTATATATTGCTTTAGATTATCATCAGTTCATGCTATTAAAAGATTCCTTACTGATGTCTGTAAAAGGAGAGTATCTCAGGACTCCAGTGATAATTGATGTGATTTTCTTCATTAATATGGGGGGCTGCATGATGCAGTTAAAGATTATGGATTTTGATAACAAGCAAAAGACATTTGGATTCAAATCCTGAATTGGTAATTGCTTATATTTGTGATAATAAGGCAAATTGCTTAAACTCTCGAGCTTCAGTTTGCTCATTTGTAATATGGATGTAATCTCTTTTTTACAGGGTTGATGTAAGGATTAAATTAATTAATGTTTATAAAGTACATAATAAATCTTAGTTCCCTTCCCCCTCTCCTTTTTCTTCCTAGAGGAATTAAAAAGTAATTACTTTTCAAAATGTTGGATAATTCAAATCCTAAGGTTTAGAATCTGAGTTGTCAGCTATCTTATGACTGCCCACATTGTTGCTTTCTATTTCTCACACAAGTCCAGACTTTATTGGAGAGAGTATCAGATCTTTTTGGCTAATACTGTAGTATTTGGAATTTCTAGCCTTTGATCTCTGTGGTTTGATTTTCTTTCCTCTGGGAGATCAGATGAGTTACCCATTCTGCAATACAGATGGAATGAACAGATTCTTTTGTTTCATGCTCATTCTTTGGTAGTTAAATTCCCATTGATATAGGTTGGGATGCTTGTTAGTCATATTTCTACACATTGAGGAAAAAATGTTAATTTAAAAATGTACAAGGGAATGTAATGTACAGCATGGTGACTATAGTTAATAATACTGTATTGCATATTTGAAAGTTGCTATGAGAGTTGATCTTGAAAGCTCTCATCACAAGAAAAAAATTTCTGCATGGTGAAATATGTTAACTAGGCTTACTGTGGTGATCATTTCGCGATATATACAGATACTAAATCATTATGTTGTATACCTGAAACTCATACAATTTGTATGTCAGTTGTACTTCAAGAAAAATAAATAAATTAAAAATAAAGCTGGGCTTCCTTGGGCATTTAGTGCTGAATTGGTTAAGGAACTGTTTTGATTGCTGATTAACAAAAGCATTTCATTTCAAAGTAAAATGAGGATACATTCAAGGCTTGTGATCCTTAGGTATTTATTACTGCTTGTGTACATTCTTTTGATGGTACCTGAAGATATGTAAGATTTAAATACGGTAAAATACTCAAGTGAAACACAAATCTTGAAAATTAGGTTCTTCATGGTTTGCTACTTTTAGTTTAGAGTGAAAGTTTGTTATGGTATGATTGTAACTTTATCTTAAAATATAAGGTGGATAGTTTTATGGGTGGATGGAGAGTGAAATTATGAACTTCTGTTTTCTTGATTGGTACTCTTTTTTTTCTTTTTGATTGGTACTCTTTTAGAAACTTGAGTATTTGCAGCGGTGGTGCTTCAGTATGACTCTTGGTATGGTTTTTAAAAATTCCCATCTTATTAGATTGTTTTCTGAAAGTCCAGTTTTTATTTTCTTTTGATTTTATTCCTGAAGCTTTTTTCTTCCTGGAAAGTAAACCTGTGGAACATTCTCATTTGCCTTAGTGGCATATGAAAGAGGGGTTCATGTGGTGTGCAAGTTGAAGACTGCTGCCTCTCTACTACTTTTTCACAAAGATCATTTTTTTAAAATAAGAATAAAAACTTGGCTACAGGATATTAAACTTGAAAATATTAATATTACAAATAACTTGCCTCTTATACTGTTTTTAAGTAGTTTTAATATTTTATTGCAGACCAGCCGTGTGTTAGATATTGTGCTGAAATAACTTCTCAAAAAGCAAGATGCATTTGCCAGTAGCACTCAAGGCTATTTGGTACTGTTAGCTGTCTTTCTTCAGGAGTTAAATTTTTTCACTAGACTTTCCTTAATTTAGATTAACTACAGGATATTCAAAATGTACTTACAACTTTTCATGTATTGGTAGTGTTTGGAATGTAACTTTAAAGATCATTTCAGGTTTGTTTTTTTTTTTAATCTTACATAGTACATGGCTTAGTGTTCTATAAGGTTTTTTTCGAGAGGTGGCCCTTGGTTTGCTTTGGAGAGTGGTATTAAGGTAGGTAGCTGCTACTTGTTAGTGTGTGGACAGCAAAGTATGTTGACAGTGGAGTGTAACTTAATTTTGTTGGGTAGGTGCTTGTTCCAGTAGGTTAAGTCAACAAGTATATTGAGGCTCCATCACTTGGCAGATCTTGTGCTTGACTTTGAGGAAGAAAACATTAAATAAGACTATACAAACTGGGCAGTGTGCTGTCTAGTGGAAGAAAAGTCAGCACATAATAGTACAAAGTAGAGGTATCTAAAAGTTTAGAAAGAAGTGACAGCTGGTTAAATGGAGGGTGGGAAGGAGAAGGCTTGAAGAATAGAGGAATTTGAGTTCTTCTGAACAATGAGCAGAGGTTTGAAGGATAGAGATAGGGATATAAAAAGAGATGGGTGAAGTAAAGAAAAATAAATCTGGGAAATGGATTGGTAAGTGATCTCATTTAGTCAGTGCATAGAGCACTTGCATAGGGAATAAAAGTTGCTGAGATGGAAAGATAAGTTTGAGATAAATTGTGGAGATTTTGAATGCTACGGAGTAAAATTAGAGAGCCATGGAAAATTTGAGGCAGGAAAATCCTTTAGGAAAGAATTCTTGGGGCGTACTTAAGGAAGAATTTGGGAGTGAGGAGGACCATTTGGAAGATTATTGCAGTGCTCCTGATAAATATTGAGGATTGTTGCAGAAATCTCATCTCAGATCTTCTCTGGGAAGCTTTCTTAACTTCTTCCCCACTCCCAATAAGATTTGCCTGCCCCCTCTGCTCTAATGGCCATTGTTTTACTTGACTCTTTTATTAGCTTTATTTTACTTTATATCTTATATCTCTGATGTAAGGCATAGTACCAGTAAATGGTTGAATTAAGGGAAGATCTGGACCACAATTGTGTCTTTAGAAAGGAAGAGTCCCCATTGAAGAGCTGTGATTAGAGGCGGGATGAGCAGAATTTGACTCATGTGATTATGAGGGGATAAAGGAGTCCAGGATGATCCTGTTATCATGCTTGTTGCTGGGTAATACTTATTGAGCAGTTATTATTTGCTAGACACTGTTCTAAGTGCTTTACCTGTTTTTGTCTTTCACAGTAATCCTACGAGGCAGGGTGCTATTCAGCTTTACAGAGGAAAGGAACTAGGGCCAAGGTTACAAAACTGGCAAAGTCCTAAAACCAGGAAGTCTGATTCCAGAATCTGTGCTCTTAAAAGCATTTTACTACTTCCATATTATTAGTGATTGAGAGATACAATCCATTGTCAGAAATAAGGTCAATAGGAGAAACTAGTTTGGAAGGAATTTTAAATATATTGAGTTTGAGGAGCTTGCAGACATTTGGATGAAGATGTCCAGGAGGTAGTTTGAGAACAGATTGGAACCCAGGAGAGGGACTAAGGTTGAAAATCTTTTAAAGAATTAGAAGTCATCTCAGTACAATAAAGGTGTTGATATGCTCCCTATGGGAGAGATTGTTAAACTTGTGGAGATGTAAGTTGATGCTTTAGAGGACGAGAGGAGAAAGAAGACATTTTAGGAGTCAGTAATGGGAAGGGAAAGCTGATGACACAAAATGGTGTTGGAGGAATGAATGTTCCTGTGGCTAGGTTGCTAACTTGAAAAAAGTTTTTATTCTCAGCCACCAACATATAGGGCCATATAGTATAGTGTAGTTGGCTTAGCTTTTATCTCCTTAGCAGTCACAAGAGTGATCCTTTTTTCTTTTGGATTTTCTTGCCATCCTTCACCACATTGTGCTATCTGCTTTCTCTACCCTGAGATAAATTTGTCTTGTGTCTGCTTCTTTATTGTCTTAAGCTTCCTTTAATTCTGTCCATTCATTTCTTGCTTTTTGGTGTTTTCATATGGATGAAGAATTGTGCTCTAGACTTCAGGAGATCTGTAAGCATCATTAATTTGTTCTTCAGTTAAAAAAACCATAAAAACCAAACCCAAGACAAATAATATAGTCAGGTCTAGGTTAGGAAGAGGGAGAGGTTCAGTTTCTGAAATAGCATTACATTTACTGTTTACTTGGACCACTAGCTTTAGAAGTTGGTTATTTAAAAAATCTTATTAACTACTGTTTGCGTCTCTCAAGCTTAAAGAAGTTCCATTCTGAATGCTGTGTAGTTACAGCTGCAAATCAGTGGAATATGTCTGGTTTGCAGTAGATGTGACCAGTGCCATCTTAGGTTAATTGAAATCAGCTGATGCACCTTCGTAAGCTGTTGCTGTTATTTTTAAATCCTAGAAATGATGATTTGGATGTGGTGGCATAGAAGATTAAAGAAGAAAAGGGTAGCACTGTTTTAGCTGCTCTTGCATGCTTATTCTTCTGGGTGAACTTTAGAATTATTTTTTATTTTTTTTTTATTATTATTTTTTTATTCATGAGAGACAGAGAGAGAGAGGCAGAGGGAGAAGCAGGCTCCCCGCAGAGCAGGGAGCCCGATGCGGGACTCGATCCCAGGACCCTGGGATCATGACCTGAGCCGAAGGCAGATGCCTAACCATCTGAGCCACCCAGGCGCCCCTTTAGAATTATTTTTGGCAGCCCCTGTGCCCCCTTGCAAAGATTTTCCTTTGGGGTATAGAGCTGTTGAATGAAATTGCACTAAATATGTAAATAAATTTGGGTATAATTGACATTGTCTTAATAATGGGTTTTCCAACCCGGCATATGATGAGTCTTTTCAAAAGGTGACTTGAATAACTGACTCCTTCTGTAAAGTTTGTGTTTTCTTCACCTGGGTTGTGTACATTTCTTTTGTTGGTTTCTAGATGCTTTATACTTCTTTTGACTATTGTAAATAGGATATCATTTTTGTTACCTAACAGGTTAATACTAGTATATTGGCAAGCAGTTGATTTTTTTTTTCTCTGTTCAGCGTCTTGACTGAATTTTTTTTTCTTTTCTAAGAGTAGTTATTCTCTTGGATTTTCTCATTTCTTAGTGTGTGCAAATGGGCACATTTCAAACTGTGTCTCAGTGTGTTTCAGAGAATTAAATTTAAATATTAAAAAAATTTCTTCTTCCATACCATCTTGCCTTTTAAGAAAGGTTAGATGGGAGAAGAAAGTGAATGAGGAAGGACACAATAAAAGTTGGAGATAGAAAAAGATGGCTAGAAAGAAAAGTGATGGAAGGTATCTCAGTGCTTAGCTGTCTTGAGCTTATTTTGCTTAGGGCCCAGCATGGTGGAGTTCAGAGGAACAAATCCATTCAGTGCGAAAATCTGACCAGCTGCTCTTAGCCTTAAGTTTAGAGAAGATACATGAAGCAATACTGTGTAGACTTGCATGAGTTTTACTGTATTTACGCTTTTATATATCTTACAAATCCTTAGTTTTCTCTTAAAAATTAATATAATGTCTTGTGCATTTTATTTGAAATCTAGAACTTGGAGCTAGGGTCAGATATTTGTGGTGTTAAGATTCTTGGTTTCACTTTTAACATTTGACTGTACATAAAAATAAGTAAAATCTCACTACCCACAATACCTTGCAAAATAAAAGCAGCTCAATGACAGAGTTAAATTCTGGGACTCCCAAGTAAAAATTTCAGACAGATACCACATGTTATTTAGTTAATAGTCTTGTAGCTTGGCTTCTTTGTCTGCATAGTGAAAAAACAAAATATTGTATGCCATATGTAATTTGATCTGTAGATAATTAAGAAAAAATAAGATGAAATTTTAACAGTTGACATTGTTGAGAAGTGCCATTATTTGAAGACTGAATTTTTTCTGTGCAACCGTCAGCAATAGTGGCATGTTGAATTAGAAGCAGCCTCCTTAAAACAAGTTGTAAATGGTGGCCAGCAGTGGATTTGAAAAAAGCATTTTCTTTTTTTTGAACTCTTTCTGCAGCAGCATTTGTACCTTTTACATTAAGGGTTTATGTGTGGATTTTCTTGTTACTAGAATCTGCTTCTTACATGATTGTGTAGTTGGAGGAAGGAGGGGAAGTTTCTTTGCTGTATAGCAAGAAGTTGCTGCTCTGTCAGTGTTGTGGCAGTAAACTGTGTATCTTATGACTTGGGAAGAGCTTTTGCACGAAAATGCTGTTGTAAAAATAGTGGTTAGGTTTCCAGTCTACAGTTTAAAAAGTTTATGCCTCAAATATATCCTACTCTCATTTGTATCATATTTTGGCATATATGCATTCTGAATTTTAAAGAATTGACTTGCACATTTATTTTGGATCACAATCTTTTTGTAAGTCCTAGATTTCCTTTGGTTTTATTAGCTGAGGAGAAATTGCTACAAGTTTGGGAAGATTAAGTCTATATAACTTGAGACATACTTGTTTTGTTAGCATAATATATTTTTAGATCATTTAAATATTGACTTTTTAATAATTGCAGACCAGATCATCAGATGTTCATTCATCTGGATCTTCAGATGCACATGTGAGTATAAAAGACAATCTTTGTCTTTTTTTTTTTTTTTTTTTTAGTATTTATTTATTTAAGTAATCTCTACACCCAACATGGGGCCCCAACTCATGTCCTCCCAGATCAGGAGGTGCATGCTCTACAGACTGAGCCAGCCAGGCACCTCTCGTCTTTGTATTTTTTTAAAAAAATATTTTATTTATTAATTTGACAGACAGCGAGAGCAGGAACAGAAGCAGTGGGAGTGGGAAAGGGAGTCAGGCTTCCCACCGAGCAGGGAGCCCGAAGTGGGACTCGATCCCAGAACCCTGGGATCATGACCTGAGCTGAAGGCAGATGCTTAACAACTGAGCCACTCAGGCACCCTCGTCTTTTTTAACATTTAATTTCTCTCTGTATCCCTATATTTATGATTTTACTTGATAAATATTATTGTATTGTATGTGTCTATTTTCTGTCATGTTTTTGCTAGGTGCCCTTTTTTTGTGTGTGTGTTCTATTTGTATAAGTTGGTCCCCTCAGACCATATTAGAAACCAAGTATGTATGTATCTTTATTTTTTTATTGTGCTTATAAAGTTCTGTACATATACAAATGTGTATACTTGTATATTGACTATGATTTGCATTGTACACGTTATTTTTTCACTGCACGATATACCTGTTGGAAATCCCTGCAAGTCAGCAGTTAGAGCTCTAATATAGTCTTTCTGCTGCCATTGTAATATCCCACAGGGGAAAGTACACATGATTTTTTTTTTTTAAAGATTTTATTTATTTATTTATTTGAGAGAGAATGAGAGAGAGCGCATGAGAGACCCCTCTCTAGGGTCAGAGGGAGAAGCAGACTCCCTGCCGAGCAGGGAGACCGATGCAGGACTCGATCCAGGGACTCCAGGATCATGACCTGAGCCGAAGGCAGTCGCTTGACCAACTGAACCACCCAGGCGCCCAGTACACATGATTTTTAAAGCTATTTCTCTGTTGATGGGCATATACTTGTCGTTTAAAGCTTTTTGACATTTTGAATAATTCTTAAATAAACATTCCTTTACATGTTATTATAGCAGTGCTCAAAGTATGGTTTTCAGACTCTTGGGGGTTACTGAGAATTTTTCATGGGTTTTGTGAGTCAGCTATTTTATAATAATACAAAGACATTTGCCTTTTTCATCATGTTGTCATTTGCATTAATGGTGCAAAAGCAATTGATGGGTGAACTGTTGGCATCCAATATAAATCAAGCTAGTGTTGTCAAAATGTATTAGTAGTCATTGTATTCTTCCCTACCTGGCACAGTAAGGTAAAAATATGCTAGTTTCACTTAAGAATGTTCTTGATGAAGCAGTAAAAATTATTAATATTAAAAATTTTGCCCTGTGGGGCGCCTGGGTGGCTCAGTTGGTTAAGCGACTACCTTCAGCTCAGGTCATGATCCCAGGGTCCTGGGATCGAGTCCCGCATCGGGCTCCCTGCTCTGCGGGAAGCCTGCTTCTCCCTCTCCCACTCCCCCTGCTTGTGTTCCCTCTCCGCTGTGTCTCTCTCTGTCAAATAAATAAATAAAATCTTTAAAAAAAAAAAATTTTTTTTTTGCCCTGTGTATGGGTCTTTTTAATGTTTTGTATGATGAAATGGGAAGTACATATAAGGCACTACCTCTTCTCAAAGTATGTTTGTCTTGAGGAAAGGTACTTGATGGATTATTTAAGTTGAGAAATGAAAACTGGCTCCTTTTTTTTTTAAGATTTTATTTATTTATTTGCCAGAGAGAGAGAGGGAGAGTACAAGCAGGGGGAGTGGCAGGCAGAGGGAGAAGCAGGCTCTCCCTGAAATCATGACATGAGCCAAAGGCAGACGCTTAACCATCTGAGCCACCCAGGTGCCCCAAACTGGCTTGTTTTTTGATGGAATACCATTTTTACTTGAAGGAACAACTGACAAACTGTGGTTAATCAGACTTGGATGTTTGGCAGATAGAAGGAAACAGACCTGTTACTTCAAAGAAAACAGTTACTTGTTTTTTTTTTTTTTTTTTTTTTTAAGATTATTTATTTATTTATTTGACAGAGAGACACAGTGAGAGAGGGAACACAAGCAGGGGGAGTGGGAGAGGGAGAAGCAGGCTTCCCGCCGAGCAGGGAGCCTGATGCGGGGCTCGATCCCAGGATCCTGGGATCATGACCTGAGCGGAAGGCAGAGGCTTAACCACTGAGCCACCCAGGCGCCCCGAAAACAGTATTTGTTAATGATACAAAATTTGAGCTTTCAAGGTACAAGTTAGAATTATTGAAAACTTTCCCTGTACCAAAAGACTTTTCTGATGAAATCATTGGTGATATTAAGGGATGAGAGTTTTGATAGTGTATAGTGAAATTTGTCACTCTTTGGACATTTGGGTTGTTTGTAGTTTTAGTACTACATCTGTGATTTTAAAAACTTGTTTTACTTTTCCTGAAGATGGATGCATCTGGACCCTCAGATAGTGACGTGCCAAGTCGGACACGACCTAAGAGCCCAAGAAAACATAATTATAGGAATGAGAGTTCCCGTGAAAGCCTTTGTGATTCTCCTCATCAGAATCTCTCAAGAGTAAGTGTTGATAAAGATAAGAAAGGATTAATAATTTTAATCTGTCCTTGATTGAATTTGGTGGTTGAATATTTTGGTTTTATACTGGTTCTTTCATCATGTACTATTTGAAAATAGCATTTTTTTTTTTTTTTAAAGATTATTTATTTATTTATTGACGGAGGGAGACACAGTGAGACACAGTGAGAGAGACACAGCAGGGGGAGTGGGAGAGGGAGAAGCAGGCTTCCTGCTGAGCAGGGAGCCCGATGCGGGGCTCGATCCCAGGACGCTGGGATCATGACCTGAGCCGAAGGCAGACGCTTAAGGACTGAGCCACCCAGGCGCCCCTAGCATTATTTTTTGTATCTGGGTTAATGATAAACTCAAGTTCATGTAAGGAAATTTTTTTTTTTTTTTTTTTTTTAGCTTATATGTGAGATAAGATTCATTTAAAATTGAAAATTTTAATTATAAAACCAAGGAGTGTTTTGTATTAAAATTTTTTTTTTTTTTTAAGATTTTATTTATTTATTCATGAGAGACAGAGAGAGAGAGGCAGAGGGAGAAGCAGGCTCCCAAGGAGCAGGGAGCCCGATGCGGGACTTGATCCCAGGACCCTGGGATCATGACCTGAGCCGAAGGCAGTCGCTTAACCAACTGAGCCACCCAGGCGCCCTGTTTTGTTTTTTTTTTTAAAGATTTTATATATTTATTTGACAGAGACACAGTGAGAGAGGGGACATAAGCAGGGGGAGCGGGAGAGGTAGAAGCAGGTTTCTTGCAGAGCAGGGAGCCTGATGCGCGGGATTCGATCCCAGGACCTTGCGATCATGACCTGAGCTGAAGGCAGACGCTTAATGACTGAGGCACCCAGCGCCCCTAAAGTGGTTTTTTAAAAAAAAAAAAAGATTTTATTTATTTATTTGCCAGAGAGCACGTGGGAGAGAGAGAGAGAGAGAGAGAAAGAGAAAGAGTACAAGTAGGGGGAGTGGCAGGCAGAGGGAGAAGCAGGCTCTCTGTTGAGCAAGGAGCTCGATATGGGACTCGATCGCAGAAGTCTGGGATCATGACCTGAGCCGAAGGCAGACGCTTAACCGACTGAGCCACCCAGGCATCCCTGGATATAAAATGGTTAAGGGTCAGATTATTGTTCCTCCCTTGTACCAAACATTTACTGAATCAAATACCACATGCCAGTCACTGGAAATAAATAGATGGGTAAAATGCAGTTCTTGCTCTTGGAGAGCTTATAGTCTCACCATGGGAAGTAAACAGAGGTAGGTATTATTCACTCTGATTAGTGTGCCCAGGGCAGTATGAGAACAGAGAGGGAGCATTTTTTTTTTTTTTAAAGATTTTATTTATTTATTTGAGAGAGAGAGAATGAGAGACAGAGAGCACGAGAGGGAAGAGGGCAGAGGGGGAAGCAGACCCCCCGCTGAGCAGGGAGCCCGATGTGGGATCTGGGACTCGATCCCCGGGACTCCAGGATCATGACCTGAGCCGAAGGCAGTTGCTTAACCAACTGAGCCACCCAGGCGCCCAAGAGGGAGCATCTTTATTATGTGTATCTGCAAAGCGTTCTCATGCTCTTTTAGTCTTTTTTCTAGTTTTTCTATTTCATATAATTTTTCTTGTTATTAAACTTGGGGAATTAATAAATTAATAAAAATTAAATTTGGAAATATAGAGAAGGCAGTCATCACCAGCCAGTATTAACATTGGTAACACTTTATTTTTATTGTTTAATATTCTAAGCATAAATATATTTTTACTTTGCTGAGATCCATTTTACAGGAATACATTTTAAAATACTCTGTTTTCAGTTCTAATTTTTTTAATTTTAGCAAAAATTCTGTGGAACTTTTTAATGGATGATTATATTTCTTTGTGTAGATATTCCATAATTCCCTTAACCATTTTTCTCTGTGGTGTGTAGGTTTAGCTCTTAGGATATAAATAAAATTTGAGCCCTTCTGATTTTGTTTTGTAAAATTATGTTTTTCATTGAATTTATATGTAATTTTACCATTTGTTTAAACTTTTAAAATTAAAACCAAAGATGCTTTATTTTGAATCTATTCCTGAAACCTCATTTGACTTTTGGGTTATAAACTTTTATTTTTTCAAAGTGATTTTAATGTAACTTTAAAATAATTTGTAGCAGTATTACTCTTCTATTCTGCTTCTTTCAGGGGCAAGCCTATTTATAACCAGGGGATTGATAAAGTCTAATTTGTAATTGGTTAACTTCTCATTTTGGTAGGCAAGAGCGAAACCTTCGGATTTCAATTACAGATTAATATTTTAGGTCGTATTTAATAGACATTACTGTCTTTTAAGTTTATGAATCAAAATCTAACATTTAAATGAATAACTGAACAACTAAAGATCTGTAGATGATTTTACTTCTGCTGTAACCTGAAATACTATTATTATGTTCCTAAACATCAGTATTATTGATGAAGAATGAGTTTATTTACTGAATTATAGAAGGAAGTGATGTGATTTGTAGGACCTGAAATGGAGGTTATAGATGGTATTTAGATTTCTGCTACTGAACTTTGGAAATATATGCTGCCTTCTCCCATTTGAATGTTTTCCCTCACTGCTTCTTTTGCTCAGAACCATCTGTACTTTTTCTCAACTGCTTTTATTCTTGCTGCCAGCAAGTCGATTGAATGAGTTCTAAGCCTTGGCATCTCTCTCTGCTTTTTCACTTTTTTTTTTTTTTTAAAGAAAATGGCTTTTTTATGTTATTGACCTTGAATTAGCAAGTGAAGACATTCCTTAAGGAATACTTAAATCAGAATCAAGCCCATGGTAGGCACTTGATGCTTAAGAGTAGCCTCAGCTTTTCTGCTTTATGGTGAAATTTCTTTTTAAAAGTCATCTAATCTGACGACTTGGTTATCAGTTAAGCTGTATCAGTTGAGTTAGATAGTATTAAGAATGTATGTAAAGGTATGCTTTTTATTTCTTTTCATAGCCTCTTCTAGAAAACAAACTGAAAGCATTCAGTATTGGAAAAATGAGTACAGCTAAGCGAACTTTAAGTAAGAAGGAACAAGAAGAATTAAAGAAAAAGGTAATATTTAAATTGTATTTTGAGTTATCCTTGGAAATGTGTCTAAATAAGTGTATGGGCAGTAGGGAAATGCTTTTCAAAGATTCTTGACCGGGATATTTTCAGCTCCCACCACCAAGTCACATCTGTAACACAAGGTATATTTAGAGGTTTGTATCCCTGTTCCCGCCACTGCTTCTTCTATGTAAGATTTAGTTATTTTCTGGCCTCTTCTTTTTGTATAAGCAAGTGTGTAAATATATATTGTACTCCTCTCTCTTAAGTGATCAGTAATAGGCTATATACAGTGTGCTTTTCTCCATCTTGCTTTTTACACTTAACATTATATCTCAGAGATTACTGCAGGTATAATGAGATAGTCTTTGTTTTGTTTTTAAAGATTTTATTTATTTATTTGACAGAGAGAGACACAGTGAGAGAGGGAACACAAGCAGGGGGAGTGGGAGAGGGAGAAGCAGGCTTCCCGTGGAGCAGGGAGCCCAATGCGGGGCTCGATCCCAGGACCCTGGGATCATGACCTGAGCCGAAGGCAGACGTTTAACGACTGAGCCACCCAGGCGCCCCTATTCCTTGTTTTTTTAAATAGCTGTGTAGACATACAGTAGTTATTCACTAAAATTCTGTTGAGGGCATTTTTGTTTTGGTCTTTTGCCGTTTCAGATTGTGCTGTTAATGGATAGTGTTATGCATATAGTTTTTTTGCTAGTTTATCTTTGGGATATATTCCTGTAGGTGAGATTACTGGGTTGAATGGTAAATGCATAAATGTAGCTCTGTTGGATATTGTCAAATTGCTCTCTATAAGGGCAGGGACATTTCACATCTCTCTCATTAATGTACGAGAGGTTGTTTCCCTATAGCCTTGCCAACAGAGGATGTTTTTGAAGTTTTGCCAATCTGCTCAGTGAAAAATGGTATCTCAGTGTAGTTTTAAATTTGCATTTCTCTTGTAAGTAAGGTTGAAAAAGCTTACTTTACTTTTACGTTTTGTGTAAAAGGTTACACAAAAGCTTTTGAGTTTGTTTCTGTGAGCTGTCTTCTTACATCTAAACCAATTTTTCTAGAAATTAGTAGTTTATCTCTATTTTTTAGAAACTTTGCATATTAAGTATATTAACACTGTCTATGACACAAGGTGCAGTGTTTTTTCCCAGTCTGTCGATTGTCTTTTTATTTTGCTTCTGGTGTTTTTTCCATCCAGAAACTGTTTATTGTTATGTAATCAGATTTATCAGTCTGTCTTTATGATTTCTAGTTTTCAGTGTTTTTCTTACTCCCAGCTTGTAAAGGAATTTCCTCATGTTTTTTCTTTTTCTTTTTTAAAATACTTTATTTGTTTATTTGACAGAGAGAGAGAGAGAGAGGGAACACAAGCAGGGGGATTGGGAGAGGGAGAAGCAGGCTTCCCGCTGAGCAGAGAGCCCGATGTGGGCCTCGATCTCAGGACTCTTGTGATCATGACCCGAGCTGAAGGCAGACGCTTAACGACTGAGCCACTCAGACTCTCTCTTTCTTTTTTTTTTTTTAAGATTTTATTTATTTATTTATTTATTTGAGAGAGAGAGAGAGAGAGAGAGAAACAGCATGAGAGGGGAGAGGGTCAGAGGGAGAAGCAGGCTCCCCGCTGAGCCACCCAGGCATCCCTTAAATAGTTTCATTTAAAAAAAAATTAAATATGATTCATTTGCAGTTTCTCCTGGTATATGATGTGAAGAATTGGTTCACTTTTGTCTTTTTTTCAAATAGTTATCCCGACATCATTCATTGAAAAGTTGATCTATTCTCCATTGATTTGAGATGCTTCTTTTATTGAATACTAAATTTCCAAGTGTTACTGGATTTATTTCTCTTTTTTCTGTTCTGTTCCATTGGCCTTCTATGCATACATGTTTTGGGGACATTGTGAAGAGTTATAATTGAAATTGTCAAGGTTCTTTGGAGCTTTTTTTCTAATGCCAGCTGTGGAGTTATTGCTGCTTCATCTTCTAATACTCATGTCTGTGGTTTGTGAAGGAAATCTTTATAATCACTGAATTAAATCATCATGCTTTGGAAACATCAAAAACATTAATAGGATAGTGTATTTTGACTCTTAATGTCTCTAAATTTACTTAGTGGATCCAGAATTTCTAGTTCCACAAATTGCCAGTAGAGGATCAAAGTCTTAGTTTCAATGTTAATTAGTATCTAATATCTACTAAAGATTAGATATTACCTATTAGGACTGCCAAACCTGCTTTTGCTAGCGAAGAGAAAGGTTTTGTTTACATTATTCCTTAATGAATTTCGCCCTATGTACAATAATATTTTTCATATGAAGTAGTAGTATTTTCATGTGTATTTAGGAAGATGAAAAGGCAGCTGCTGAGATTTATGAGGAATTTCTTGCCGCTTTTGAAGGAAGTGATGGTAATAAAGTGAAGACATTTGTGCGTGGAGGTGTTGTTAATGCAGCTAAAGGTTAGTGTGAATATTATAGTCCTTGAGCAAACCCCAAAAGTCTTGGTAGAATAATTGTAGGTAATTATGAAAGATGTTTGGTGGCTTTGAATGTCACATTTCCTTTCTACCAGCACCCTCTAGTGTTGATATTAATTATTAATTAGCAGCTTAAATGGCCAGATGTGGATTAATCATAAATTGGAGCCAAATAAATTTAAAAAATAGTACCTTTCAACGTTGAATACAGCATAACACTTTGCAAAAATTTTAATATGTTTCATAGTTTTACTATAAAATGACTAGTATTTTGGAGAGTAAGGTGGTAATAGGAATTTAACTTCATATTTTGTCAGTAGTGATATATCTTAGTGCTAAAAGCATTTTACTAATTTATGTTTATTTTCAAATAAAAAATCAAATAATATGAAATTATTTTTGAAAATTAGTTTTGAAACTTACTATTTTAAATTTCAGAGGAACATGAAACAGATGAAAAAAGAGGTAAAATTTATAAGCCATCTTCAAGATTTGCAGATCAGAAAAATCCTCCAAATCAGTCATCCAATGAAAGACCACCATCTCTTCTTGTGATAGAAACCAAAAAACCTGTAAGTCATACCCAAATAAGTGACTTTTTATGTTCCGAGATGATACTGCCAATGATATTTCACTACTTCCACTGTAAGCAGGACTTTGGTTTCTTGTTTTTAATTATTTTGGGAGTAGATGTTGAGTTTTGGTGTTTAGTTTATAATTAGAGTAGGACATGTAGACAGTGTTTTTTTTATGTTCTTTGAGCAATGAACCTTTGGTGTTGTTATATTCATAGTATACTACAAGTAAAAAGTTGACTATATTTTAGGTGTAAATATAAAATAATGGGATTGTCTTTTTAAGCAATTCTGAACTGAGGTATTTAAATAATAGCAGCAAGTGTAGTGGCAGTTACCTTGGAAGACTGTATGTATTCCAGTAATGTATCTTTTGCCTAGAACATTTTTGGAATTAATTTGGAATTACCGTCAACTAGTGGTACTTTCTTTAAAATATTCTCAGTGTTAGAAAATTTATTTTTTGATGGGATTTTTCATGGGGTTGGAAGGTAGATGTGGGTCATGTCATTTGGAGCCACACTTGAAGAAGTATGATTTCACTGAACGGTGAGACTGACTTTTCAAATAGCTCTGAAAGCAGTGCAATGGAAAAAAGCAGTTTTCTTGAGATGTAATGCACATACCCTAAAATTTACTCTTTTAAAGTACACAATTAGTTTTTAAAATGTATTCACAGTTATGCAACAATCACTAATCTCTAATTTCAGAACATTTTTATTACCCCAAAAAGAAACCTGACACCTACTTTTAGTCATGCCCTAGCCCTGGCGACCACTAATCTACTTTTTGTCTGTTTGGATTTGCCTGTTTAGGACATTTCATGCAGATGGAATCATACAACATGTGGCCTTTTGTTTCTGGCTTCTTTACTTAGCATAATATTTCAAGGTTCATCTGTATTCCAGCACATACTGATACTTCATTCTTTTTTATAGTTGAATAATATTCTATTTTATGGGTATAGCACATACTGTTTATCCATCTATTACTTGATACTTGGGTTGTCTCCACTTTTTAGCCATTATGAGTAGTGTTGCTACACATTTGTGCGTAGGCTTTTTTTATGGACTTGTGCATTCAGTTCTCTCATATATACCTAGAAGTGGAATTGCTGGGTCATATGGCAACTATTTGTTTAACCTTTTGAGAAACTGCCAAAACTCTTTTCTAGATTAGCTGTACCATTTTACAGTCCCATCAGCATTGTATGAGGGTTCTAATTTTAACACGTTTTTACCAACACTTGTTAAAATTGTCTTTTTTTTTTCTTTTAGATTTATTTATTTGACAGAGAGAAGGAGAGAGAGAGAGCACAAGTAGGCAGTGGCAGGCAGAGGGAGAGGGAGACGCAGGCTGTCTGCTGAGCAGGGAGCCCGATTCGGGGCTCAATCCCTGGATCCTGGGATTCATGACCTGAGCCGAGGGCAGCTGCTTAACCGACTGAGCCACCCAGACGCCCCTAAAATTGTCTATTTTTAAAATTGTAGTCATCTTAGTGGGTGTGAAGTTGTACCTAATTGTGGTTTTGATTTGCACTTCCCTAATGATGTGGAGCATCTTTTTTATGTGTTTATCATCCATTTGTAGTCTTCTGTGGAGAAACGTCTTTCAGATCCTTGGCGCATTTTTTAATTGGTCTATTTGTTGTCTTTTCATTGTTAAGTTGTAAGAGTATTTTACACTTCCTGGAGTCAAGTCTTTTATCAGCTATGTGATTTGCACATGTTTTCTCCCATTCTCTGCGTTGTCTTTGTCCTTTATTGATAGTACCCTTTGAAACACAAAAGTTTTTAATTGTGATGAAGTAGAATTTATCAGCTTTTTCTTAGGTCACTTGTGCTTTTGATGTCATATCTAAGAAGCCATTGCCTCATTCAAAAGTCGTGAAGATTTATTCATATGTTTTTCTCTTAGAGTTTTATAGTTTTAGTGGTTAAATTTAGGTATGTGAGCCATTTGAGTTAATTTTTGTGTGTGGTGTGAAGAAGAGGTCCAACTTCACTTTTTCTTGCATGTGGATATTCACTTGTTCTCGCACTATTTGTGAAAAAAGACTTATTTTTCCCCATTGAATTATTTTGGCACTTTTAAGAGAGGGATTTCAAAAGCAGTTTTAAAAGAGGAGTTCCAAAGATGTTACTGATTATTTCAATAATTCATGGTCCTCCTAAGGTGACTGTTTTGAAGAAGTGCATTTTTTTGGTAGTTGCTCATGGCAGTTACTTGGCAGTTCAGTTACTTTATGTTCATTAGTTTTGCTCCCTGTTGCCCTCACAACAGTATTCAGGCCTAAGTATCACAGGCTTTTGGAAGATAAAGTTTGTGGTTCCTTTACTTTAAGACCACTGCTTGTCATTTTCTTTAATTGCTTTAATAATCAAATTGTTAAATTCTTAATTCCAGAGATCAGGAAGGAAGTGTAGTGAGAACAGAAGCATTCTTTTTAATTTGAATAATTAGAACATAATTGGCACTAAAATAAAAATTACTTAAAATGATCTGATTATTGAACCATTAGTTTTGTTTTACCGTGTTTTGTTTGAAGTATAACTTGTCATATCCTTCATAGCCGCTGAAGAAAGGGGAGAAAGAAAAGAAAAAAAGCAATTTGGAACTCTTCAAAGAAGAATTGAAACAGTAAGTTTTATAGTGTGGAGAATGGCTGTCATAGGTATATTGAGCTGATACGTACAGATGCAGGTATGAAGAACGTAGTGTCCTGGTTATCACTAACTGCCTTACCTATGATGAGGTTGTTTTAAGTATGATAGTGATTTTTTTTTAGGGTATGCTTGAAGATGATTTAGCATTTCATCCAGCATCTAGGTTGGTAGCATAATATGGATGCAATTCAATTGATTTATCTAATGTCCGGAGTCCTGTTTGCAGTGGAAACAATGTAGTCACTGAGATAGGGGTGAGGAGTGAGCAGACTTAACCAAGAAAGGACAAATTCATTGGTTTTGATGTTGGATTTCCTCCTCACCTTAGAAGTGAGCTTCGTACTCTAATGCTTGCATTGGACATGTCAGAAATTTGCTTATGACTGTTATAGCTGAGGAACTCTCTAATCTTGGTTGGTAGTACTGGCATTTAATTACTCACAAATATTTCAAGTTATATGAACATAGTACCTGGATAAACTGTATTAATAAATGTGAATGAACAACTTTTGCCTCGTTATTAGTGATTATAAATATTTTCAACAGAATTCAGGAAGAGCGTGATGAGAGACATAAAACAAAAGGCAGGTTAAGCCGATTTGAGCCTCCTCAGTCAGATTCTGATGGTCAGCGTCGTTCTAGTAAGTGGCATTTATTTTAATGTTTATATTGTGATTAACTATTCTAAAAACTAAGAATTGTTTTCTTTTTCCCCTTTTAAAGTGGATGCGCCTTCAAGAAGAAATAGATCATCTGGTGGTAATACAGTTTTTTGCTTTTTTTAATTAATAGAAATTTTTCAAACTTTGTATTATGCAGGTTATAATTTTTTTTTCCCCTCTTTATCCTAGTTCTTGATGATTATGCACCTGGCTCACATGATGTAGGGGATCCAAGCACTACTAATTTATATCTTGGAAACATTAATCCACAGGTAATATTAGAAGAGTTAGGTGAACGTTGGCTCATATTCTTTATAATTATGGAAGAAAATTGCTTTGTCAACAAAAAATAAAGTCAAGAATCTGAAGTAAGCAAATTTGAAGGAACCTAGAGACTATTGAAGTCTCTAAAATTATCTTATAAAATTGAGCCTTACTGGTATGGGCTGAATTGTCTTGCGACAATTCTTAAGGACTTATCTCCTCTTTCTGTAACTTGACTATCTTAATTTGAAATATTAAGATATTTTATCATTTTATGTGTACTGATTTTATTATTTATCAAATCAGGATTTGACCAGTGGTGAACAGTGTTCTTTTGAGACTACCCTCTTGTGCATAGCTTACTTCCTTAATGGACATCCTTTTTCTGTTTTCTCTTCATGATAGCAAATTAGTAATTTGTGAATTCTTTTCCTAACTTCAGTGTTACTTGTGTTATGAGGAATATAATGGTAGTTATATGTTATATGCTCTTTTAAAAAATTATGTTTTTTTTTTTTTTTTAAAGATTTTATTAGAGAGAGAGTGCACAAGCAGTGGGGGAGGGGCAGAGGGAGAGGGAGAAGCAGGCTCCCCACTGAGCAGGGAGCCCGATGTGGGACTCCATCCCAGGACTCTGGGATTATGACCTGAGCCGAAGGTAGACGCCCAACCGACTGAGCCACCCAGGCGCCCAAAATTATGTTTTGGACCTCATTGTATATTTACCATTTTCTCTTTTTCTCTCTTCTTAATTACATTGGGTGCTGGAAAAAGAAAAAGTGATTAGATGCTTTTTTTTTTCTTTCATCACCAACATGTACTTTCTCCTTGCCTTAAATGTGATATCAGAGCTGACTGAAAAAAGTTGCTAAATGTCTAAACAAACCACTGCCGAAGAACAGCTTATTTTAGATGCAGGATCTCAAAAGGAACAGCAGGGGAGATAGAGGTGTGCTTTTCTTTAGCCACCCAGCCTCTTCACCCTGACCACTTACTTGTGTTTCTGGTATGAAAAGATTTGTGAATGTCCCCTGAGGGCAAGATTGTCCTATTTAGGGTCCTAGTACTTGAATGGAAACTTGTAGCATTAATAGGACTCACTGTTCATTTTGTAAAAATTTGCTCTCTGTCACAGACTTCTTCCCTCCTTTTTTCTGCATGCCGAAAAAACTCTTATGCCTTTTATATTTATTTATTTATCTATTTATACATTTTTATGCCTTTTAATAGATGAATGAAGAAATGCTTTGTCAAGAATTTGGAAGATTTGGACCATTAGCCAGTGTGAAAATTATGTGGCCTAGAACTGATGAAGAAAGAGCAAGAGAGAGAAATTGTGGCTTTGTGGCCTTTATGAATAGAAGAGATGCTGAAAGAGCTTTAAAAAATTTAAATGGTAAAGTTTTTTACTGTCTACTATAGAATTCAGACTTTTTTTCTGGTCTGAAAAGTATAAAAACTCTAGGGAAAAAATGGACCAGAAATGGAAAGGTTAAACATGGAAATTAATTCAAATTAACAGAGATCTTTTGTTTTGAGAATTACCAGGGTGACCTTTCTTTTCTTCTTTGCAGGAAAGATGATTATGTCTTTTGAAATGAAGTTAGGTTGGGGTAAAGCTGTGCCTATTCCTCCACATCCAATATACATTCCGCCCTCTATGATGGAACATACGCTTCCCCCACCTCCATCAGGACTGCCTTTTAATGCGCAGCCTAGAGAGAGGTTAAAAAACCCTAATGCTCCAATGTTACCGCCACCTAAAAACAAGGAGGATTTTGAGAAGGTAATTTAAAAAATGTACATAGGGCCGCATCTAATTTGTAAATACTAAATCTGTGGTAGTATTTCTTTTCAATAATTTTATAGAAAATGTGTGTGTAATTCTGTTTGACAACTCTTAAATAAGTAGATGTGTTCCCTGCCTTAGCCCATGGAAACCCTGTATTGAAATACTAGGTCATATTTTTATTTGTGGCTACCATTCCTTTTTTGACCACTTAGGTTTTTTTTCTCTTTGTCCACTGTTGTATCCAGGTTTGCTAAAGTGCAGTATCTAAATTTACTTTGTTCTGAGAAAGTGTTACTTTGTATTTGGTTAAGTGACCTTTCAATTAGAAAGACCTAAATAGTTAAACTGTTTGGATGGCTGCTAGCTAACTTAGTTCTCAAGATCTGAGGTATTAGAGTATTTGAGAGCATATGTGGTTTTTAAAAAAGCAGTTAACTACTCTAGTAAAGGCAAAGGGTGAGTATTTTCTTTTTATTAAACATAAAACCAACTTAATTTCAAGTTTATAAGAATTTGTTGGTTCTATTATGAAATAATTACACTTAAAATGACAGGGCTGGTTTTAAAGGCTTGGGAACAAAGTAGCAAACTGTATGGTCAGAGGCAAACAGTTAATTATTTCACAAATTAAAATCTTTATCTGATAATTCTCAGTGTAGTACCTATTTCAGTGCATTGATGTGCATTCTGGCAGGAATGTTCTGATTCTTTGCATTTGGTGAACATTTATTGTTCACTGAACACATCCATTTGCATTTATGTAATTGCTTAGTGTATAATTACTTCAAATGCAGTGATTGCCTGCAAAACTTGTGATTAGATGTGTAGTGTTTTCAATGCATTATGTATATTTTTGCTTGTTACTTGTTAACAATACTCACATATTCTATGTTTATTATCTGATGTGACTTCATATACAGACTCTGTCGCAAGCCATAGTCAAAGTGGTTATCCCAACAGAAAGGTACATGTTTTTCTTTATTATTACTGATCTAAATATAGACAATATCCCCTTCTGAATTAAAAAAAAAAATGGTGTTGAGGAAAAGGTAATATCTTGACTGAGCAATGGTTCCTTCCCAGTACTTTTTGGGGGGGATATGTGACTAACTTTAGTATACTTTGCAATTTTATGTCATTATCTTTTTGTTTTTATTGTTAACAAAGTAGGGCATTTTATAGTTTTAGTAGTTAGAATGTGTTTGATACATTTAATCTGGAGTTGTTAGTTTAATAATATTGTGATGGGAAAATAGGTGTTTTAAATGTATTTTAAATTGTATATAATGTTACAGTTTGACCCAATCTGTTTTTTTCTTTTGGTTCCTGAATGATCTGTGTTTAATATGCAACCTTAGTTTGAGTTCCCCTTACTGAAGGGCATAGCTTTGTTTTTTTCTAATTGATTAGGAATTCCTGTTATTTTCATGAACACTCAACATACTAGAAATTTTTTTCATGGTGACAAAGGTGTTTGGAATTCTTTTCTTTTCCTTTCTTCCTTTTTTTTCTTTTTCAACATAATGATAAAGCAGAAGAATTCATGCTCTAGGTATGCTCTTGCTCAGTCAAGCTAAGCCTTTTCCCAAACACAGGAACACAACACTGGTTGAATAATAAATGAACACAAAAGAATACCAAATTCTCTTTGACATTGGCCTTGGTGAGCAACACCAGCTGAACTGTCTGCGGCAGCGGGGGACCAGGAAAACATCATGGGATGGATTGGGAAAGTATACAGTTTTTGACCAGACATTGGTACGATCGACTCCAATAAATGTGGTTTTATTATAACTGAGAGACAATTTTTGTTTTTTTTTTGTTATTGTTGCCCAGAGTAAGATAATTGCCATTTTAAAATAAAATAATGCACTTTAAAATATATCATCTTTTTGTACTACACTGTTTCATTCTGATAGAAAAGTCACCCTTTTAAAAATGTTAAATACACCATCTTTAGGGAAAAAGTGTGATTGCAATTCTTTAATAATCTTGAATTCAGCTTAGCAACAACTAATTGTCAGATTTTGATTTTAAATAATCACATGAAATATTTTAAAACTTTAAACTTTAAATTTTCTAAAAATACATGTTATCAGTTTACAAGCCTGTTTAAAACTATAGTGGGTTATTTTTCCACTGATAAAGCATTCACAGGAAAGTATTTTTGTAGCATTCAAAAAGCATATTCCAGTAGTAGCTTTACATGTGGCTCAGCTTATTTCTAAACTAAATTTTGAGTATACATTTTGTTGAAAAGTCTTAACTCACCATTACAGTAAATCCTTTGTTTTAAACTTGCTAAACCACTTTTCATTTAATAATATTCAAGTCAAGTTGCATTTGACTTAAGTCATACAAGTTTCTGGATGTATAGTATTTGTCCCCCCAGTAATTGATTTTATATATTATGATATTTACATAAAATTTCCCTTCACTTTAATTTGACACATACCAGTGGGAGTTTTGGAACTGAATCATAACTTTACATTATCTCCCTTCCTTCCAAATAATATCATTAACTATATGGATGCTGAGAATACATTGTCATTTGGATAACAAAAACTGCATATTTGCAGAATAGTTAATACTTCTGTGAAAGAAAAATAATTTTTAGATATAAAATTAAGTGATGCTTCTGGTTTTTTGTTTTAACAATTTGAGGTTGAATTAATAGTTTTAAATATGTAGCTTCCCCTTTATTAAAGATTTAAACTTTCATATAATTTTTTTGACCTAGAGGAGGTCAAAAAAATTTTTTTTCACCATATAGAGATTTTAGTGTCCATTTAATAAGTAGGTTTGTTTGAAATGGGAGAAAATAATTACAGTGACCATGAGATAAATTTATTGTTTATGTACTCTGAAGCAGGGCATTATAGAGCCAAAAAAATCTGTCTTATTCTATAACTATATATTTATTTATATTCTAGCAATTATATGAACTTAATTTGAGCTGGGAATGCTAAAGGTGTAATTTAGTGTGTGCCTTGTACCAAGAGCCAATATCCTTTTGCTTTTCCCAATTACTATTTGCCTACTCTGTATGCTGGGGGACTGGTGAAGTGAGAAATCAAAAGCAGCTTATAATAAGCTGAGTCATTTATGCTTGATGCTGTAATTAATGTCTAAAATAGTGTTTAAATCACATGAGTTTTAGGACCTAGATTTTAAAAATAAAGATTTTCTATGAGCCCAACCAATAAAATGATTGTACTAAAAAAGTTACAAGTTTCTTCTTGGCTTAAATATTGGAAAGTAATTGTTACAAAAAAATGGGAGAGGCATCTCACCATGTCCCTTATTTTGGAATATTTTGGAAAGAGGACTCCATTTAAGGCTTTGGCAATATAATTGCTTCATTGAGTCATAATATGCAGGCAGAATTATACATGTCATGAGTTGTGTGAACCAGTTTGATGTGTGATCCAAAGGGATGTTGCCTCATTAAAGGTCAGATTCAATAAAACCTCCATCTGCTATATGTGTACCAGAAAAACACAAGAGTTGGATGGATTTTTTTATTAAATCAGGCCTTAAACTTGTTAAATAGTTTTGCATTTTTTATAAATTATAGTCATGTATATCACATTTCAATACCACCACAAAAGTGCTTGGTTTAGGAATATTTTCTTTTAAAACTGAGATAGTGTGTAAGTTTTTAGATGGCTATGATAACATGTAAGCTCTAAGTTTACTCATTTTATATATTTGCAGCTTTCCAATTAGTTGTGATTCATAATTTAATGTTTTACATTTGGAAAATAAAATTAAGTGGCATTTAGAAAAAAATCTTTATTGCTATGAAGCTGTGTTGTGGTTTCCCACCCTCCCTTCATCTCTCCTTCCCCTCCCACTCCCCTATCCCCATTGTTCCACTCCCTCTTAATGCACAAGGCATTAACATATGCTCCAGGTTATTTTTTTGGTATAAAATTTTGTATTAGTCAGCAGAATTATCTTTTTCTGCACAATTATAGTAACTTAGGTCAAGTATAGTTTTATATAGTGGTAGGTCTGAATCCATTTTCTTTAACTGTGTTGTTGTTGTAGGAATTTGCTCGCCCTGATACATCGAATGATAGAGTTTGTTGTACGTGAAGGGCCAATGTTTGAAGCTATGATTATGAACAGAGAAATCAACAATCCTATGTTCAGGTGTGCATTTTTTTTTTTTATTGTGGTAAAATATACATATAATAGAAAATGTACCGTTTTTGCCATTTTAACATGTACAGTTGAGTGGCATCAAGTGCATTCACATTTTTGTGCAAACCACCACCATTGTCTATCTCCAGAAATTTTCTTATCTTCCATAACTGAAATTGTACCCCTTGAACAATAACTCCCCATTCCCTGGGCCCTCCAGCCTCTGGTAGCCGCCATCTACTTTCTCTGTTTCTTTGAATTTGTTTACTCTAGTTAACCTCATATAAGTGGATTCATTCAGTACTTTGAGACTCGCTTATTTCATTTAGCATAATGTCTTCAGGGTTCGTCCATGTTGAAGCATGTGTAAGAATTTCCTTACCTTTTAAAGCTGAGTGATAGTCCACTGCATGTATATACCACATTTTTTTTTTAATCCTCAGGTGTGCATTTAAAAAATACTTTTTACTTATTTTTTGGAGCTAAAAATATTTGCTAGAATAAAGTTCTATAAGTATGGGGTTATTTTTGCAGTGGGATGAGAAGGCAGTTTTAGTAATTAGACTAGGATCTTGGGTCAGTTTTCTATCTGATTTTGATTTAAGTTAATTAAATAACATTGTTTTTAGCAGTCTCTAGGAGGAAAATACTACTTTTTTTTAATGTTTTTCAGTGAGAGTCCTTCATAGTAGAACAATAGAGCACTATAGAAAATTGCTTATCTTCTGAACGGATATATCTAAGACATTCATTTAACACTCCTAAGTCATTTAACAACCACTGCTTTTGAAATTTCTATCTTGGGAAAATCCACTGCTAGATATAATATCTGACATATAAGCATTCAATAAAATTGATTGTAAGACTCAGTAAGATGCATACATACCTTCTGAGTACCAATGTCAGTCACAAAGGCAGTGTGGGGGCTAGGCTGAGGAAGGGGATAGATGGCAGAAGGCAGTGGGTGAGGATTTTTCTTCAGGGATCTTTGCTTTTGGTTTATTTCAAATGAGATAGGCAAATAGTATTTCTCATTTGTTTAAATTTACTTGAAGACACTCCTTTGTTAAAGAATATATATTTTTTTTGTTTGTTTTGTTTTAGGTTCTTATTTGAAAACCAGACACCAGCCCATGTTTACTATAGGTGGAAGCTTTATTCTATTCTGCAGGCAAGTGGAATCAATTACTTTGTTAATTTCGACTCTGAGGTATTTCACCTAATAACATTCTGGACATTTATTAGGGAGATTCTCCGACTAAGTGGCGGACAGAAGATTTTCGTATGTTCAAAAATGGATCTTTTTGGAGACCACCACCATTAAATCCATACCTGCATGGGATGTCAGAAGAGCAAGAAACAGAAGCTTTTGTAGAGGAGCCTAGTAAAAAGGGAGCACTTAAGGAAGAGTAAGAATTTTTTCTTTTCCTGTTACATATTCAGAAAAGTTGCTTTAATAATTGCTTTAATGATCTTACTAAGATGTTAACCTAAAAGAAAATGTTTTTTCTTTTACTTGTGAATGTTTAAAATACATTTCTCATTTTGTGTTTTGTAATTTTAAACATCTTGACAAGTATAAGTATGTGTCCTATTGACCTCTATCTCTTCCTACTGATAAAAAATAGTGATAATCTCTTAAGCAATGAATCTCTAGCAATGGAATACTTGTGATTCTTACAGAAATTACCTTGGGACCCTTGGAATTCTAGCCTCTCTGAATGCAACATTAAAGAGGAAAAATTACTGTAGAGCTTTGTGAAGTCAGATGGTTGATTATGCAGAGTCTTTACGCAAGAGTTGCAATGTGTCGCCACCATGAAAATGTATTAGTGCTCAGTCAGTATGGGTACAGTGAAGTTAGTCTGGTTTAAGAAGCAGAAACATATAACTAGGGCGTCTGGGTGGCTCAGTCGTTAAGCGTCTGCCTTCGGCTCAGGTCATGATCCCAGGGTCCTGGGATCGAGTCCCACATCGGGCTCCCTGCTTGGCAAGAAGCCTGCTTCTCCCTCACCCATTCCCCCTGCTTGTGTTCCTGCTCTCGCTCTCTCTCTGTCAAATAAATAAATAAAATCTTTAAAAAAAAAAAGAAAGAAACGTAACTATTAAATACTAAGAGTAAGTTCTGTATACCTCATGGGGAAAAATTGGCTAAAAGATTATGGCATATAGGATTATGTACTCCATTGCGTAGTCTAAATCTTTATACTAGTTGAATTGATGCATTGTTTGTGAGAGCATTTGCTAATGGAGAGCTATATATATTTGAAGCATATTTGCTTCTGCAGATGTATTTTCATCATTACTTTTGCCCAGGTCTGCAAACTCAGCCTAAAGGCTAAATCTGGCTGTCACCTGTTTTTTATAAACAAAGTTTTATTCGAACACAGTCATGCTTCCCCTCCCCTTTTCTATGTTGTCTATGGCTGCTTTGGTGTTAATAGCAGTGAAGTCAGGTAACTACTAAGAGACTGTATGACCTGCAAAGCCTAAAGTAGTTACTCTCTGATTCTTTACAGAGTGCCACCACCTGCTTTAGCCTGTTTCTAATCTGATGCAGAACTGCTAAAGTAACTGACTTCTTCAAAAGAGAAACATGAAGTCTTTTTATTTTTCACTATAATGGGATAATAGTACCGGGGACATTCTCAGACACTTAAAAAAATGCCCATAATTTAAAATTTACTTTATTTGTAAACTAAAAATCACTGGAATCCTTTATTCACGAGAAAATATTCTTCTCCCATGTAAGCTCTTCAAAGAAATGTAATGTATTTGGGGGGCTTAAATCAGACCTAACACAATTTAGTCTTCACAATTTTATCCGAATAGGTTTTAAAGAAATTAGTTTGTGAGCAGAAACTGTAATGGCATTTGAAATTTATATCTATAAATATTTATAAGTTAAAAACTTTTGTATTCAGACAGAGGGACAAATTAGAAGAAATCCTGCGGGGGTTAACTCCAAGGAAGAATGATATTGGAGATGCAATGGTTTTCTGTCTTAATAATGCTGAAGCTGCTGAAGAAATAGTGGATTGCATTACTGAGTCATTGTCCATCTTAAAGACACCCCTCCCCAAAAAGGTATGGGAATGATTTCTCTTTATGGAACATTGGTGTTTTTTTTTTGTTTGGAAGAACTTGACTGAAGAGATCTTTCCCATGCAGTCTTATTTTCCTCCTGTCTTGGGAAACTTATGTTAATCAGTACACAGGTTATCAACAGGTTGAAATGTAAATGAGTTACATATTTTATCCCTGCCAAAGTAGTGGCTTTGGTAATGTTGAATTTCTTATAACTCTTCTAATTAGCTGTTATTATTGTAGCCAAACATTAGCCGTATGCTACTGATTGCAAAACATTTCAATATGGAATTTTTTCTAGATACATTATTTGCTGCTGGTTTTTATTTTTAATCTCTTTTATGTTATCTTTTGGTATTCTAGATTGCCAGATTATATTTGGTTTCTGATGTTTTGTATAACTCTTCAGCCAAAGTTGCCAATGCTTCATATTATAGAAAATTGTAAGTATAATGGTGTAAGCTGATATTCCTGAAATAAAACATTAAGGGTAAGGAATTCAGAAAAGAGGATTGTTTTGTTTAATTCATAGTCTCAGTAATAAATAATTTGTATTTCTTCGTAGTTTATAGAATTTTCTAAAAAATTGGGTTGCATTCATTAAATCACTTTAAATGTTTAGAAAGTTTTCTTATCAGTTTCTTGGTAAATTATACTAGAACAACTAAGAGTTAAAAAAATAACTTTATTTTTATTGCATATTTAGCCACTTGCGTAGTAAAAAAACTGAAACAATAGAACTAATGGCAAGCATAGAGTATGAGACCACCAAAGACAGAACATTAACTGTTTTGATCATCATTGTATTGGTGTAGTTCACTGGGTTGTTTTCCTAGGCAGTAGGAAATTATGTTGCTCTATTCTTTTTTTTTTTTTAAAGATTTTATTTATTTATTTGACAGAGAGAGACATAGCGAGAGAGGGAACACAAGCGGGGGCAGTGGGAGGGGGAGAAGCAGGCTCCCCGCGGAGCAGGGAGCCCGATGTGGGGCTTGATCCCAGGACCCTGGGAACATGACCTGAGCCGAAGGCAGATGCTTAACGACTGAGCCACCCAGGCGCCCCTATGTTGCTCTATTCTAATTAATATGTAATTCTTCTTTAGAGTTCATTTTTGGTGTTTATTTTATGAATCAGGGAAACTTTTCTCTAGGAGCTGACTCCGAAATGAAATTTGGAGATGTGGGTCCTAATCTTAGCTCTGTTATTAGGGTTTTTTTTTTTTTTTTTTTTACCTTGGATAAGTCACTTTTCCTATTATAAAACAAAGAGGTTAGTTTAGGTAGCATAAGGTATCCTAAATGTAAAGTTTCTTGTTAATGAAGAGAACTAATTCTTTGCAGGAGGATAACTCAGAATAAGGCGTTCAGTTATAGTTTTAAGAGTTTAGATACCTAGTTCTTGATTTTTAAAGAATTACTTGATTATTTATGTTTTTTTTTTTCACGTTCAAGAGAGGTTTTCATTGGCTAGCATGCTGAAGTAGATAGGGGTTTTAAAATAAATTGTATCGTAAATATGTATTATTTGAATTTCAGTTTTGAAACAAAGTTATGTCAGATATTTTCAGACCTCAATGCTACGTATCGTACAATTCAAGGCCATTTACAGTCTGAAAACTTCAAGGTATGTTTATTGTTTTATTTTTTCCCTAATGTGAAACGGGGTAGGGGCTGGCAAGCACATTGGAGCGCTTAGAAAAGTACATAGGACAATTATAAGACATAACATGCATCTTTCAGAAATTATTGCTTTAACATTTACTGCCATTTTATCTTCAGTATCAAAAATGCCTGCAAGTTTGAAATATGTAGTGTTACTTTGTTGGGTATTTGTTTTAGTTCGAAGTGTTTTATTTAAATGTTCTATTTGTTTTTTCACAAAAAACATTCAGAACATCACTTGTTTCAGAATGATATATATAATTTGGCAGGAGTAGGAACATAATTTTAGTTATTCATGTTTAGAAGATATATTCAGTTACTTTTTATAACCTCTTAGCTGTGGACCAGTGTTAAGAAAAGCCAAACAAAATACCTTGCATGTAATGGAATAAATAGATACTACTTTCATGGGAGGAAGACTTCTATTAAGGAAATTTTTAGCCTGGGAATTTAAAAAACTCCATTTAAAAATTTTTTGACCTTAAATTTTGACCATATATCAAATTTTTATAGAAAAGTTTTTAGGAATGGGACAGAGAAAAAGTATTAGCCAGAATCAGAAAAGTACTTCATTGGACCGTAAAGGAATTTGGTTTGAAACTACCTTAATACCAATTTTCATAAATTTCTAAGCTATTATTCCCAGAATGTAGCCTCATGTGCTATGGGACATTGATCTTAGGTTGCCAAGAGCAAAACAGTTACTGTTTCTTTTTCATTATATTTATTTCTAATTTTGTCCCCTTTTAGTTAGAAGGTGACATTGATTTTTTAAAAATATACTGATAGTTATTTTCTGTCAAGGATGTTGGTTTAAAGGAAAATTCAGCAAATTGTGATGGCCATTCTCATGAGATGAAGTTTGAGACGTAGTGCCTAAATAGTAATTTGTTGTCTTTTTCCTATTTATTTAGCAACGGGTAATGACCTGCTTCAGAGCATGGGAGGATTGGGCAATTTATCCAGAACCATTTTTGATCAAACTACAAAATATTTTCTTAGGACTTGTAAATATTATTGAAGAAAAGGAAACAGAGGTAGGCACTCAGTGTCTTTGGGTGATTATTTTAGAATTTATTTCTGGGGATGCTCTGGGGGTGTGATTTGTTATGGATGTGAGTAACATTTCTTTGTGAAAAATACCTGCTGTTTAACACTAACTTACGGGTTTTTGTTGCTGGAATTGCTGGAGCCCGGGAGATGAAATGATGTGTAACAGGACTTCTCTGTTTTGTGGCCTTATGTGAAAACTGGGTGACTGGGTTTCTTTCACCCAATGCCTGCATTTTTTTTTTTTTTAATTATTGAAATATATTTGACAAACCTTGTTATATTAGTTTCAGGTGTACAGCATGGTGATTCAGCAATTCTATACATTATTTTATGCTCATCACGATAAGTGTAGTTATCATACACTGTTATTACAGTATTATTGACTATGTTCCTCATGTTGTATTTTTTCTCTGTGACTTATTTACTTTATAACTGGATGTTTGTACATCTTAATCCCCTTCACCTATTTTGCTCCCTTCTGGCAACCACCAGTTCTCTGTGTTTAAGAGTCTGGTTTTTTTTGTTTTGTTTTTTTTTTTGGTCTGTTCAGTTTGGTTTTTTAGATTCCATGTATAAATGAAATCGTATTGTCTTTCTCTGATGTATTTCACTTAGCGTAATACTCTCTAGGTCTATCCCTGTTGTCATAAATGGCAAGAATCCATTCTTTCTTTTTTTTTTTTTTAAGAATCCATTCTTTTTGATGACTAATATTTGTGTATGTGTGTATACATCACATCTTACCCATCTGTCAGCAGACACTTGGGTTATCTTCATATCTTGGCTATTGTAAATAATGCTGAAATAAAAATAGGGGTGCATGTATTTTTTTGAATTAGTGTTTTTGTTTTCTTTGGGTAAATATCCACCAGTGGAATTACTGGGTCATATGGTATTTCTATTTTTAATATTTTGAGGAATCTCCATACTGTTTTCCACAGTAGTTGCACCAATTTATATTCTCACCAACAAACAGTACACATTGGTTCCCTTTTCTCCACATTCTTGCCGACACTTGTTATTTCTTATCTTTTGATACTAGCCATTCTGACTGGTGTGTGAGGTGATACATCTCCTTGTGGTTTTGATTTGCATTCCCCTGATTAGTGGTTTTGAGCCTCCTTTCATGTGTCTGTTGGCGATCTCTGTCGTCTTTTGAAAAAATGTGTGTTCAGGTTCTTTGCCCATTTGTTTATCGGATTATTTGTTTTATTTTGGTGTTGAGTTGTATAAGTTCTTTATATATTTTGGATATTAACCCCTTATTGCAAACACCATCTCCCTTTGGTAGCTTGCCTCTTTGTTTTGTTGATGGTTTCCTTTTCTGTGCAAAAGCTTTTTATTTTGGTATAGTCCCAGTAGTTTTCACTTTTGCCTGGGGAGACATATCCATAAATTATTGCTAAGGCCAGTGCTCAAGAGATTACTGCCTGTGTTTTATGCAGTTTTATGGTTTCAGGTCTTATATTTAGGTGTTTAATCCATTTTGAGTTGACTTTCGTGTATGGTGTAAGAAAGTGGTTCAGTTTTGTTTTGTTGCATGTAGCTGTTCAGTTTTCTCAGCATTATTTATTGAAGAGACTGTCTTTATTATATGTTCTTGTCTCTCTTGTGGTAGATTAATTGACCATATAGGTGTGCGTTTATTTCTGGGTACTTATCCTGTTCTATTGATCTATGTGTCTGGTTTTGTGCCAGTGTCATCTTGCTTTTTTTAAAGATTTTATTTATTTATTTTAGAGAGCAGAGAGCAGGAGCCAGGGGGAGGAGTAGAGGGAGAGGGACAAGCAGACTCCCTGCCGAGCATGGAGCCTGATGCCAGGCTCAATCCCAGGACCCCCAGATCACAACCCGAACCAAAACCAAGAGTCAGACGCTTAACCAACTGAGCCACGCATGCACCCTAGTACCATCTTGTTTTGATTACTATAGCTTTGTATATTTTGAAATCTGGGATTGTGATACCTCTACCCTGTTCTTACATTGCTTTGGCTATTTGAGGTCTTTGTGGTTCCATACAAATTTTAGGATTATTCTAGTTCTGTGAAAAATGCTATTGGTATTTTGATAGAGATTGCATTGAATCTGTAGATTGCTTTGGATAGTATGGACATTTTAATAATATTCTTTCAATCCATGAGCATGGAATATCTTTTAATTGGTTTTTGTCATCTTCAGTTTTTTTCATCAGTGTTTTAGAGATTTCAGAATATGTCTTTCACCTCCTTGGTTAAATTTAATCCAAGGTATTTTGTTCTCTTTGGTGCTGTTGTAAATGGGATTGTTTTCGTAATTTGTCTTTCGATTACTTTGTTATTAGTGTATAGAAATGCAACAGATTTCTGTATATTAATTTTGTATCCTGCAACTTCGCTTCATTCATATGTTCTAATAGTTTTTTTGGTGGAATCTTAGGGTTTTCTATGTATAGAATGGTGTCATCTGCAAATAATGACAGTTTTATTTCTCCCTACCAATTTGGATGCCTTTTATTTTTTTTTCTTATTTCATTGCTGTGGCTAGGACTTCCAGTGCTGTGTTGAATAAAAGTGTTGAGAGTGGACATCCTTATCTTAATATGGCCTTTATTAAGGTATGTTCCCTCTAAACCCACTTGGCAGAGAGTTTTTATTATGAATGAATATTATATTTTGTCAGATGCATTTTCTGCCCCTACTGAGATAATCATACGGTTTTTGTCCTTCCTCTTTTCAATGTGATGTATCACATTGACTGACAAATATTGAACCGCCCTGGCATCCTAGGAATAAGTCCCACTTGATTGTGGTGAAAGATTGTTTTAATATATTGTTGGATTTGGTTTGCTAATATTGAGGATTTTTGCATCTGTGTTCATCAAGGGTATTGGCTGTAGTTCTCTCTCTTTTTTTTAGTGTCTTTGATTTTGGTATCAGAATAATATTGGTCTTATAGAATGAATTTGAAAGTTTTCCTTCCTTTTCTGTTTTTTGAAATAGTTTGAGACGAATGAATAGGTATTAACTCATTTTTAAATGTTTGGTAGAGGGGTGCCTGGGTGGCTCAGTCGTTAAGCGTCTGCCTTCGGCTCAGGTCATGATCCCAGGGTCCTGGGATTGAGCCCCGCATTGGGCTCCCTGCTCAGCGGGAAGCCTGCTTCTCCCTCTCTCACTCCCCCTGCTTGTGTTCCCTCTCTCGCTATGTCTCTCTCTCTGTCAAATAAATAAATAAAATCTTAAAAAAAAAAAATTTGGTAGAGGGGTAGGTCGTGGCTCAGTCAGTTAAGCGTCTGATTCTTGATTGCTGTTCAGGTCATGATCTGAGTTGTGAGCCCACTTGGGATTATCTCTGTCCCTCTTCCTCTGCCCGTCCCCCCCTCTAAAAAATAAACAAAGTATTTGATAGAATTCACCTGGAAAGCCATCTGGTCCTGCACTTTGTTTGGAGGTTTTTGATTGCTGATTCCAGTTTTGGAAGATTGTATGTTTCTAGGAAGTTGTCCATTTCTTCTATGTTATCCAGTTTGTTGGCATATAATTTTTCATAGCATCTTCTTGTAATCCTTTGTATTTCTGTGGTGTTGGTTGTTATTTCTCCTCCTTCATTTCTGATTTTATTTATTTGAATCCTCTCTTTTATCTAGATGAGTCTAGCTAAACATTTATCAATTTTGTTTGTCTTTTCAAAGAACCAGCACTTGATTTAATTGATTTTTTTTTATTGTTTCTTGAGTTCTATTTTATTTCTGCTCATCTTTATTATTCCTTCTACTAGCTTTGGGCTTTGTTCTTCTTTTTCTAGTTCCTTTATATGTAAGGTTAGATAGTTTATTTGAGATTTTTCTTGTTTTTTGAGGTAGGCCTGAGTTGATACAAACTTCCCTCTTAGAACTGCTTTTGCTATGTCCCAAAGATTTTGGGCTGTTTTTTTTGTCTTTTTCTTTTTCATTTTCATTTGTCTCCATGTATTTTTTTTTTGACTTTTGATGACATGAAAAGATATATAATGTATTAGTAGAAGGAAGTATGTAATAGAGCAATATATATAGCATGATTTAATTTTATTAAAATAGCCTTATAAGTAAATATGTGCATGAAGAGATGCACCGCAATGGTAGCAGATTCTATTCATCACGATTCTGTTGCTTTTCACCTCATTGTGTTTCATGAATCTTTTATATTCATTTCTGCCATCCTAATCCAATTATATTTTCACTTTCACTCCTACAAGATCCTCCTAATTGGCCCCCCTGTTCCAAGCACATGGTCCTCATTTCAGTTTCTTAAATATATATTTCCTTCTACCATAGACCTTTGTAAATACTCCTCCCTCTCTCTCAAACATCTCCTGTTTACCAGAGATCCTTTAAGCATAACTGCATTGAGCTTTCTCAGACCTCTGTAGGTGAAACTTACTTATCATACACTTGAATACTATGATATACCTCTTTGTTGTAGTGGTCATGATAGTTGCAGTTCTTTGTATATTGTGATTATATGATTTCCTGCTCCTCCCTCCCCCCCCCACACAAAAAAATTCTAGTAAGCCCTATTACAGGAGGGACCAGGGGGACAAACTCATTTTTGCTCATCATTGTATGCTCAGTGCCTTACATGGTACCTGGTTTCAGTAAACACTTGGTAGATATTTCATAAATAATGAAAGAATGACTGCTTCTTTGTCAGGAGGATAAATTATATCCTAGTTATGTCCTCACATTGTACCTGGGAATGTGGGTATCCAGCTGGTTGGTTTTTACTGGTTTGCAAATTAATCTTGTAGCAATATGACTAGTAAGCAAAAGAAAATGTTACAACAGTATGTGTATTTCTGTAGGATGTACCAGATGACCTCGATGGTGCCCCCATTGAGGAAGAGCTTGATGGTGCACCTCTAGAAGATGTGGATGGAATTCCTATTGACGCTACTCCCATTGATGATCTTGATGGGGTCCCTATAAAGAGTCTTGATGATGATCTTGATGGAGTGCCTTGTAAGTTCAGATTTCAAACTGATGATCTAATAAGGTAGAGATAATAAGGATTTTTTTATTGCCCCAACTTCTCCATTTGCTTGAAATCATAACAACTTGTATATTCTGAATTGACACATACATGTTTAAAAATTGGACCTCAGGTGTAGAGAATTGGATTAATCATAATTCTTGACACTAGCAATTATTAGTCCATGTGTGGCCTTATTTTATTTTACTTTTCAATAATATAATTGAATACCCATGGACTACTTAAGTCAACCCCTTGTAGTCAGGGTTAATGGCTTATCTTTCCTCAATAGTGGATGCAACTGAGGACTCAAAGAAGAATGAGCCCATATTTAAAGTTGCCCCATCAAAATGGGAAGCTGTAGATGAATCTGAATTGGAAGCACAGGGTGAGTAAAAGTACAATAAATATTAAGCTTTAAAAAATTGAGTACCTAAAATTAATCATTAGTGTTTATGTTTCCTTTTTGCATTTTATGATGTTTCAACCTTAAGACCCAGAGTTATGTCTAGTGGCTAAATTTTCATTATGGTTGCTGTTACCATTTTCTTAGATCTTTCAGTTTGGATGCTTTGAGAGTAAATCCGAGAAATCACTAAAACTTCTCAGGTTAAGGCATTTCAGTAGAAAATGTAGATGGGAAGGTATACCTATTTGGAAATCTACTTAGAGGTCACTTTCAGAGAAACCAGGCTTTGATCTTCCCATAGTGCTTGACTTATTAGATGCAGTTTAGACCTGCCTTTCATAATTACTTGGACATGTGTCCTTAGTGTTTATAATCATAATTGTTAGTATTTGTAGGTTCTAGTATTTGTAGGTTCTAATGAAATAAATGTTAACCATCTAGCACACAAATAAGAATGATAACGTAATTTGTCACTCCATGAATTTGAATAAAATTAAGGCATAGGTATGAGGAAAGAAAGAAATTTAGCGCATAGAAATGGCTATTCAAAAAATAGATAATTGTAAATAACTTCTGTAATATAAACTTTCAGTCTAAAGCTGGGCTTCTATGCTACTGCAAAAATGCTAATTTACCTTATGGAATTACATCCTTTTTTCCCTTCCACTCAGCTGTAACAACTTCTAAGTGGGAGTTATTTGACCAACATGAAGAATCAGAAGAAGAAGAAAATCAAAAGTAAGAATCTCAGTTTCAAACATACTTAGTTTCTTATTGCATATACACTCCCTTTTTCATTAAGAGGTATGCTTGAAATAATAGTAAAGAGGAAAACTCACTCTTAAAAAACTCGAGAGGATCATTTTTAGTTTGTCATTGTTTTTTCCAGTGAATAAAGAGCTTTTGGTTTCTGGTCTTGATGGCTCTGGTTTCACTTTGCTTCTGAGTTGATTTTTCTACGCTAGGTGCGTATACTCTCGGTAGTTACTAAATGGTCAACTGCACTTATTTCAGATCTTTGTCATCAGGTATTGTTTTGGCTCCAAAAAAGTGATTTTTTAAATGTGAATGGGAAAGTTATGCTGCTTTTTATTTGAATTGTACAGTGCTAAGCATTGCATTATGGCCATTCTGTTATTTAAATGTAAACACCTCAGACTAAGAATAAATAACAGAAAGAAAGCTTTTAACATGTAGAGAAATTACAATTTTGAATTTTGCTCTTCGGTAATCACCCCAAGATTGTGATTATAGGAATACTGCTCCCAGTTTCTCCTGGCAAGTGTGTATTGGTAGTTTTCAGGTAGAACTTGACACCTTTTTAAATCATTGGAAGGAAGTTGATTTTATTAAATAGAATAGGTGACCTCAAGAACACAAAGCAGAGGTTTCTGCTTTAAAAAAAAAAAAATTTTTTTTTATGGTTATCAAATGGAAGAGTGAACAAAGGAAAAAGTCCCTTTTGTGTCCCAGCACAATTTGGGCATTTTTGTGGATTCAGAAAATAGGTATTAGTAGCATTTAGATTGTGAAGGAAATGTGACTGATCAGCATATGTGGGAGCACAATTTGATATGCTGAGGAAAACTTGGCAGCAGTGATGTCTTTCCAGAAACATTGGGATGGTCAGAACAAATCAGCAATGATTATGACAAAATATTTACAAAATATAGGTGTGGTTTGCTGGTGGAAATACCTCTCTAGGGCTGTTGAGGAGTACAGGAATTGAGACAGTCCAGTTTGCTTTAAAATAGTGCTTTAACCTTTTTTTAATGAATATAATCATCATTATTAACGTCTCTCACTATTGTAGCATCACTGGCTTAAAATAATTATATGTATTCATGACATAATAATTTAGGGGGAAGGAAGGGTAGAAGAGGCCATTGCAGAACTCAAATATTTCTTCAGTTGGTTTTGTTTCTAAAAGTGTTAACTTTTTTTTGTATAAATTTGTTATTTGTGTTAATGTTTGGAATGTGACTGCATTTTTAGTGTTGACAGAGTAATCATGTTTATACAGCGAGACCTGGATCACGGGAAATATATTTTATTTTTTAAAGATTTTATTTATTGATTTGACAGAGAGAGGTAGAGACACAGCGAGAGAGGGAACACAAGCAGGGGGAGTGGGAGAGGGAGAAGGAGGCTTCCCGTGGAGCAGGGAGCCCGATGCGGGGCTCGATCCCAGGACCCTGGGACCATGACCTGAGCCGAAGGCAGACGCTTAACGACTGAGCCACCCAGGCGCCCCTAATTTTTTTTATTTTTAAGAGCTCCAAACAAATCACAATAACAAAAATAACTTTCTGAAAGTACAAAGCAAGGATAAGATATTTTTTCATATACAACTTTTTGGTCTTTGAAATTTTCTTATGCCTCGCTACTGCTCTCTAGTGGCTGAATCCAAAATGCCATTTTGAAACTAGTAATTATTTTTTATGGCAGAAAGGTGATTAAAAAAAAATAGAGCCCTACTATTGTTTTGTAGAAAACTTCCAAATAGTAGTTTAATTTCATTTATAATGAATCCTGTATGGTTTTATAGATTTGAATTTCCATTTCTTTAAAAGAGTAAGATGAAGCTATGATGAGATCTGAACCTAGAACTGGTAACTGAGAGCTAAAGTCAAAACCAGTTAGAACAGACTGCTCAGGCCCTGAAAAATTAAAATCGCAATTGTAAAATGAATATGTATTTTAGATTATCAAGTGTAACTCACTTTAAAAGTAAATAATATGGTTAATGTTTGGTGTCTTGCCATCTGGATCATTTCTCTGTATACGTAAGACATGTATATTTATTTTAAACATAAATTATATAATACTGTCCATACTGTTCTCTGACCCCATTTTTCACGTAAGTGTCATGGGCATTATTTTGTGTCCATATAGTTATGTGCTCTGTATTTATCTGTAGTTGAAAGCATTCAGATAAGTGTTCAAGGATATTTATTAAGGAATATTTGAATTTGCAAAAAAATTACTGAAATTTGTAAATACAGGCTGGAATTGGTTAGGTAATTTCCATTGTATAGATACCACAATTTAATTGTGACTCATCTTTTTTTTTTTTTTTTTTTTAAGATTTTATTTATTTGCGAGAGAGAGCATGAGAGGGAGGAGGGTCAGAGGGAGAAGCAGACTCCCCGCTGAGCAGGGAGCCCGATGTGGGACTCGATCCTGGGACTCCAGGATCATGACCTGAGCCGAAGGCAGTCGCTTAACCAACTGAGCCACCCAGGCGCCCGTGACTCATCTTTTTGAGTGACCCTTTCCGGAATAATCTTCCAGCAAACCTCTGTATTTACACATACACATGCATATAGTTTAACCATTTAAAAGCATCTGAAATACTTGTAAAAAATTTATGCACCATAAAATAAGAAATTCTTGTGTTTAAAAAAATTAACTAAAAACCGCATTTAGGGGGCGCCTGGGTGGCTCAGTCGATAAGTGTCTGCCTTCGACTCGGGTCATTATCCCAGGGTCCTGGGATCGAGCCCCGCATTGGGCTCCCTGCTCAGTGGGGAGCCTGCTTCTCCCTCTCCCACTCCCCTTGCTTGTGTTCCCTCTCTCACTGTGTCTCTCTCTGTCAAATAAATAAATAAAATCTTTAAAAAAAAAAACTGCATTTAGGAAGTTTCTGACAAATTAATGAGAAGTGTTAAGTATAAGTAAATATTTATTTCCACAATGAATATAGTTTTCTAGAAATGGTTTGCTTTTACTATTTTCTTCTTTAAGTATTGTAGTGAGTTGTACCTTTATGAGGTACTAATGATTTGTGGGGCTCTGAGAGTATAAAGTTTGTAAAGCACTTTAGTAATGTTCAGGAAAGGACCTTTGGGTAAGAAATTACAAAACTAGTAGTATAGTCTTCTCTTAGTACCATGTTTCTTATTCTGAATTGTCAACATTTTATTTTTATCTGCCTTGTTTACATTTTTCTCATCAGTGTGTGAGTTCTGTCATCAGTCTCTCAAATAATTTTTATTTGGAACGAATTTGGTTATAACTACTTTTACATTATTATGAATAGTTTTAAATATATACTGAAAGGACTCCTGCTTATGGTAGAATGTGTTTAGTACCCAATCCCAACAAATAAGGTTCAAATATTAAAGGGAAAATGGCATATTTTCTAGGCTATGCCAGTAATGTTAATGTCACAATCAATATTGTTTATAAAAGGAATTTTGTTTATATATATATATATATATATATAAACATTCTGAGTTTGTGTGTGGATGACGTGTTTTGCCCAGATTTGACATATGTGCACACCAAAGTCCTGTCCCAGAGCATACAACTTCTTTTTTCTTTTTTTTAAGCCCCTTCATTTGTGTTTCAAGAACATTTTGTCAGTCTGAGTCTAGCAGTGAGGACCAACTTTGCACATAGTTGCTTGCCTGTCTGTTTCCACTATATTGCTTCTGGAGGGGTAGATTTTTTTCTTCTTTATATCCTTACCTGTAGCAGTCACTTAGTTTTTCATTTTCTTCTTCTTATCTGATATGGAATCAGTATAATTCTTAGAATCAATTCTGACATGAGTACTAATGTGTGATAATATTTAAAATTTATACATTGCTTTATTCCTAGGGTTATATGCTAATCAGATAAGGTCTTTACATGCTACATTGTTTCATAGTTAACTGTGTGACACGAACTCATGTATTTTCTAGTGTATAGCCCCTGCTGAAGAAAGAGTAAATACGTTTGGCTTTTTTAATGTTAAGCTTCCCGAACTCACGCTGAACTGGAAAATGTGGGGAATCATTGCCTGATTATTCATTTCACTTAATGCCGTAAGGAAAGTTTCTTGCAGAATGAAAGGCACACAGATAACATTAACATACACAGAATTTTTAAAAGTGATTATGTTGAAGCTCAACTTCTTATGTGGAAGAAACATAAGTTTTATAAAATTGTATTATTTTATAAAATATTTTCTAGAAATGTTTTAGTAATGAATTGGCCTCTTATGTTTTGTTAACATTATTTACAGTCTAAGGCAGTGAAAAATAAAGCCAGACTGTAAAATGTAACATTTTCTTTCTGCCTTGACATATGATATATTGTTTATTTCCAGTCAAGAAGAAGAAAGTGAAGATGAAGAAGATACTCAGAGTTCCAAATCAGAAGAACATCATTTGTACTCTAATCCAATCAAAGAAGAAATGACTGAGTCCAAGTTCTCTAAGTACTCTGAAATGAGTGAGGAAAAACGAGCTAAACTTCGTGAAATTGAGGTTAGTATTGCAATGAAGTTGAAACTATACTTCACTGGCTTTCTCTCACTTTTCCACTGACCTAAGCTCCCTCTTGGCATCATTCCTTTGCATGCTGTGTTTTCTGTGCCTGGAAACCTTCATACCAGCTGACTTCCTACAGGTCTCTTAGTTCAAGCATCCCTTCTCTCCTGCTGTCCTTTTCTTAAACTTCTGTATTTGCTTACTTCTCCCTATTTATTTCTCTTGTGATTTTACATGTATTATGGTGTGTGTTTTATTTTTGTTTTCTTATCTTGCTTGTTTAATGTCTGTATTCCCTACGAGGCTGTGATTCACACGAAGGGAAAGGGCTTTGTCTGTTGTCTGTTCATTATCATAAATCCAGTGTGTGGCACAGAGGAGATCCTCTGAAGATCTTGATTCTTCTAATGAATAGATTACATTTGGCATTATGAAGTCCATAACATTTGAGTGCACATAGTATGTAACAAGGAAAAGTGAGATTCTTTCTGGCACGTTCAAGTTATGTGTACATTTTATTACAGTGGGCTCATTTTAAGTGTATGCATCCTTTTGTGATGGGGAGAGTAGACATTAAGTAGTAACAGTAAGAAGGGGAAAACCTTATGATAGTCTGAAATCCAGACCATCTCAAGCAAATTTTTTCCTCCCTCAATTCCCTCTCCTTTTTTAATGCCTGTTTTATTACCAAAACTAGTCAGACATATCAGAGAGGGAAGGGTGTTGTAATGGGAACCTTCCCCATTCCTTGCCCCAAGGAGATGAAACATTCCCAGTAAACGTTGGTGTAGCAGTCTGCCCAGAGTCTCAAAAGTATATATAAGAGTGCATTTTAAATCTTTATCCGTTCATATAACTAACAGTATTTTGCATGCCTACTGTGTGTCAGCACTACTCGTTGTACTACTTTGTAATATCTGCCATAGTCGTTAACTTGTTTCCAGTTCTCTAGTCACTGTTGTGCTGGTACAAGTTTTTGTCCAACTCTTTCTTGGAATCACCAAGCCAGAATGTTAACAGGGAAAGTATTTTGGTTTAACCTTAGACAGAATCAGCATACTGTCTATTGTAAGTGAAGAGAAGAGGTTTTCAGAGTTAACATGTTGATTCATTTTTCCTGGGATGTATTTATTTATATACATTCTCTATAAATTTTTTAGGGGCACAAATGTATCAGTGAATATACTCTACCTGTGGAATTTTTCCAAGCTGCCCATGCCTATTCTTAACTCTCAGAACTCTTCCCAAGCTTACCGAACTCTGCCTTCCTGGAGTTGAATAAAAATATATTTTCTTTTTTTAAGATTTTATTTATTTGACAGAGACACAGCGAGAGAGGGAACACAAGCAGGGGGAGTAGGAGAGGGAGAAGCAGGCTTCCCCTGGAGCAGGGAGCCTGAGGCGGGGCTCGACCCCAGGATTCTGGGATCATGACCTGAGCCGAAGGCAGATGCCTAAGGACTGAGCCACCCAGGCGCCCCATTATAGTTTTTCTTTTTGAAAGCTCTTCTCTTCCCCAAATACATTGTAATAAAGATGTCTATAGCTGAACATTTTTTAAGTTTTTATTTAAATTCCAGTTAGATAACACATAGTGTAATATTAGTTTCAGGTGTACAATACAGTGATTTGGCACTTCCATACAACAGCTGGTGCTCATCACAAGTGCACTCCTTAATCCCCATCACCTATTTCACCCATCCCCCCACTTCCACCTCTCCTCTGGTAACTGTCAGTTTGTCAGTTTGTTCTCTATGGTTAAGAGTCTGTTTCTTGGTTTGTTTGTCTCTCTCCTCCCCCTTCCCCCCCCTTTGTTCATTTGTTTTGTTTCTTAGATTCCACATATGAGTGAAATCATATGGTATTTGTCTTTCTTTGACTGGTTTGACTTATGTAACTGAACATTTTTTAGCATGGGATTAATAAAAACCGAAGAATATGTATTATAAAATACAGACTTTCACAAAGCACTTAGAAAACATGCAGGCATAGGGTATTACTGGTGTTGGCTGGAAGGAAGTTCTTAATCTTTCAGATATACTGCTTAGAGCCTGGCCTATGCTGGAGTTGTCTTTTCCTATTCTGTTGGCATCCCCACTTCTACCAAGAAGGGTTGGAGGTGTGGAACACATGGGTTGGTTGGGGTGGTGGTGGTGTGTCTTCTATGTTGTTGGAGCAGAAAGATCCCTTTTTTGCCCTGACCCCTGAGGAAAGAGTGGATAGTTGAGTGGGAAGGTGATACTTGCCACTGTCCCAGGGCAACAGGGAGATAGCTAGCTGGCAAACAAGCCAGTACATGGTGCTGCTCTCATTTGAGTTGGGACTCTTTGCCACCTGTTTTCTGGGTGCCCTGGACTTGTGCTTGCACCTGAGTTAGGTCACATGAGCAGGAACTATAAGGATTTTATAATGATTTTTATTTATTTATTTTTAAAGATTTTATTTATTTATTTGAGAGAGAGAGAGAGAATGAGAGTCAGAGAGCACGAGAGGGAAGAGGGTCAGAGGGAGAAGCAGACCCCCAGCTGAGCAGGGAGCCCGACGTGAGACTCGATCCCAGGACTCCAGGATCATGACCTGAGCCGAAGGCAGTTGCTTTACCAACTGAGCCACCCAGGCGCCCTAGGATTTTATAATGATTTTTATTTTTATTTATTTATTTATTTATTTTTAAAGATTTTATTTATTTATTTGAGAGAGAGAGAGAATGAGAGACAGAGAGCATGAGAGGGAGGAGGGTCAGAGGGAGAAGCAGACTCCCTGCCGAGCAGGGAGCCCGATGCGGGACTCGATCCTGGGACTCCAGGATCATGACCTGAGCCGAAGGCAGTCGCTTAACCAACTGAGCCACCCAGGCGCCCTATAATGATTTTTAAAAAGATTCTCTAGGAATGCCTTTCTTTCTCCAAAGTAACACTGAGCAGCGCTTAACTCTTAAGCTGATTTGCCATGAATGCATTCTGTAGAACAGAGTCACTTTAGTCATAGGAGGCTTCACACAGTGGTGAAGTGAGACATTTACATTTCTTTCCCTTTTCCCCTCTCTCTTACCCTTATGTCTTCTGTGTTTTGAAATGTAGTCCTCATTAAAACAACAATGCAAAGAGTTTTTAAGAGTTTTGAAAGAGGCAAGAACCTCAAATCTCTGATTATAAATGACCTGGTTATAGAAGTGGAATTAGGTAGAAAAAGGGCAAAAGTTGGCGAAAGTATGAGAAATGGTCATGAAGTCAAAAACAGTGAAAATAACACTTTGAACGGAAGAAGGTTTTTGTAACTTGTTCCCATTCTGTTGGTTGGAAAGCCTCATTTGTAGCGAGGGGGGGAAAACCTAAAACAAATGAGGTCTTGTTTCCAAATACAAATAAAACATTTATAGTAGCATTTAGTCCATTTAAAGGACATATCAGTGCTCAATAAAAATAGGTTAAGATGTTTGCATATACAATAATTCCATTAGGCAAGACTGTTTTCTTTCCCTCTTTGAGTGAAATAAGGTATACAGGTTTGGCACTGCAACCCAGTGGATCCATATGTGCTTTCTGCCTCCACTTCCAACATTATCTGAATCTTCATGCATTTCACCTTACCTGTTCTCCCTTTGTTCCATAAAGATGTATATATATCTTTATATAGTAAGTATATTTATATTACATTTACATATGTAACATAAATTACCTATAAATATATATGTATTAATATATAATGCATATTAACATAAAATACTTAAAATATATAATGTATACACAAACAATGCAGAATTGAATAATTTTGTACAAATAGTTTTGTGCTGATATGGATAAATTACAAGAAATGGAATCGGAAGTTTTTCTAATCTTTTTTTTGTTAGTATATACTCTTAGTATATTTCTACTATGATTTAACCTTTTCTTGATGTTCAGTAATTGCACTGTACTGTAAATAGAGTGAAACCTTCAAACTCTGTTGCTCTGTTTTTGGTCCTGTGTGAACTGTAAAGAATGCTGCTTAAAAAAAAAATTATGGTTACTTGTGTTCTGCCTGCTGTCCTGTCTTGTTGGAAGTAGGTTGCATTTAGCAACCTTGCCTTTCACATTTGGGGAGCCAGAGAGCAAATTCATTATCATTGAGATAATAAGTAGATTCTTAAGGGCATGAACTATAGTTCATGAGTCATCTCACGTGGCTGTGCAGAGAGCATGTGGGCCCACGTGCGATCACTTGAATTCTTCATGATTGGACTCGTCTAACAAGTGGCCTTCAGATAAGGGAGCTTTATGTTGATGTTATATTTTGACTGAGTCCTAATCAGTTACTACTTTGCTATGTTCCTTTTTTTTCCTTTTTACACACTTTTTCAAAGAAAAAAATTTTTTACAGGAGCAAAGCACTGCTTGAAAAACTATAGTGATGAAAAGATTTATTTTTAAAATGTCTTATTTCACAGCTCAAAGTTATGAAGTTTCAGGATGAATTGGAATCTGGAAAAAGACCTAAAAAACCAGGCCAGAGCTTTCAGGAGCAAGTAGAACACTACAGAGATAAACTTCTTCAACGAGTAAGGAATGAGTGTATTCAACAATATGCATTTTCCAAAGTTATTTGTTTGACTACCTAGAATATTGGTGTATTGGTATACTTAAAGAAAAGTATGTCTCACATTACACCCTTTCATGTGTAAATGCTGAATACTGGTAGACAATTGGGAACATTTGAAATTTGATGTTTTGCAATTATTTCAACTTGGAAAAGGGTCTTAGGGCAACAGCACACTTTTTTATTCTGGATATGCTACCTATGGACTAGAAAATCTGCTAAGACCATGCTTTCAGAACTGGAAGACCTTCTGTGAAGCTTCAACATTTGTGACAATGAAACACCAGCAACCCTCAGAAGTGGCACAAAGACAAAGATGGAGTTAGTTTGGGAAGTTCATTTAGGGCTCCTTTTCCACTGTTTCCAAAGAAGGACACCAAGTGGTAGAATACCTCATCAGTGAATTCTAAGCCTCGTATTCTTTATGCATAAAAAATATGTAGCGATATACAGAGAATTTTAGAACACATGTTAATTTTTGGAAGAACCCAGGAATTTTATTGGGACTGCTATTAATTTTTACCTATATCTTGACTATCATTACAAAAAAGACTATACACACACACACACACACATTATATATATATGGAGAGAGAGAGAGAGAGAGAGAAATAAGAACATGCTGGAACAGAAGTTAGAATCTCTAAAAGCTGTTAATGGCATAGTACTGGTGACGGGAGCAGCACTATAGTCAGATAGCTTTGGCGCCGCACAGACCTGTGCGTTCCTGGTGCCGCCCTTCGCTCTCTTCTAGGCGAATCACTGGATCCTGCTTTTCTTCGTGAAACTGGGTCGATAGTCCCAATTTTGCAGGATTGTGAGATAATAGCTACTATTACTCTTTTATTGGATTAAATTGTTTAAAATATTTTGAGTATTTTAACTAGTTTGATTCCTATAAAATTATCAATCAGGAAAATATATCCTACAGATCACCAGAGGAAGATGGTGCCCTCTGCATTACATTTTAAATCTATACTCTATATGTTGTATTTCAAAAAAAGAAAAATGAGATTTTAAAAAAGATGTATCTGTACTCCATGAGTCCCTTTGGAGTTGGTGGCAGGTATCTGATCTGCATGGAAGACTACACTTTGAGATACTCACTGGTCCTGATGGTTGTAATGCATGTAATATCATTTTAATCTCTTTGCATTCCATGATTGTAACTGGAGAGGAGGATGTGTTTCTTGAAGGTATATACTGAGGGTGAGGAGATTCATCACCTCACAGGCCATCACCTCATTCTAAATAAGCTTATTAGAACATAGCCATGTGCCTTCACTTACGTATTATCGATAGTGGCTTTTGGACTATTGTGACAGAGTTGAATCCTGGGACAGAGACTGTATGTGGCCCACAGAACGGAAAATATTTATTGTCTGGTTGTTTACAGAACATTTCTGTTTGTAACTTCTGGTATAGGCTTTTTATCAGCTACCAGATAGCTTTCTTGATGAATACAAATCAGAGAAATTAAATTCCTGTTAATGAAGAGCTAAGTTGCCTTAGTGGGTTCATTTTCTGTAGCCACTCCCTTAAGTATATTATCAACAGAAATAATTTCAGGTGAGAAGTGGTGATTGTAGCAGTGGGAATAAGTAGATAGGTCATCTTTCTGGTTTATATAATTGTATAGTCATGTAGTCAGTTTGTACTTTTATAAATTAGGATGTAAAATTTCCAATAAAAATGGTACTTGTTACTAGTAAGATTTTCTGATGGATGATTATTATGAATAACTATTTTTCCTTTTCAGCCTTGTGCTTTGGAGAGAGCTCTCTTTAGATTAAATCCACTTGCTATAGAATCGCTACTATTTTATTGTAGTTTAAGATAGGCCAGTGTATTGTTGGCTTTTTCCTTTTTTTTAAGTGGTGGGACAGAGGAAGTAGTTAAGAGCCCTGGCTCTACAGCCTGGACTCCAGTCCTGACTTCACCACCCAGTGTGACTGTGAGCATAGTACTTAACCTTTCTGAGTCTCATTTTTCATCTCTTGAATGAGGATAATAGTAGTATTCCTAAGGAATATTTGAAGTATTACATGCAGTGGTATATGGAAAGTTGTTTAGTAATTATTTGGTCTATGGTACGGACTTAGTAACTGGTATTAGTATTATCACTCAGTATAAGTAGAAGAAATAACTAGGTTTCCTGGAAGAGTAGGTATTTTTTTTAAAAATGGCATTATACGTAGTGATTTAAAAATTAAAATATTGTTGCATAAACGAGATTAACCTAGATAGGTATTTTTAATGACTAAATATTTTTTCTTTAAAAAAATAAAACAGGAAAAAGAGAAGGAATTAGAAAGAGAACGAGAAAGAGATAAAAAGGATAAAGAAAAATTGGAATCTCGATCTAAAGACAAGAAGGAAAAAGATGAATGTACTCCAACAAGGAAAGAAAGGTATACACTTCTCATTTAAATGCCTATACTGCTTTTTGAACACTAAATCAAAAACTAATAATGTATACTATATGTTGGCTAACTCAGGTAGTAATAGTACTAGTAATAGTAATAATAAAAGATAAAAAATAAATGACATTACTGTGTGCCACCCCCCAAATAAAGTTTTGGAATGTTTCATTTTGTAATGTTTTCATCACTGATGCCAACAAACTTGAAAAGTATTTTTTCATGATAAACATGTTTGGCTCCTGCCTGTAGGAGGCAGAATTAACTGAGAAATGGGGCAGTTAGTTGGCACTTGGCTTAGTTAATTGGGACATCATCCCATTGCATGGTTCAAATGGTACCTTAGCCTTAGTTAAGTGCAAGAATTCAGTTACCATATTAGGTATCAAACCTAAGGTTTAAATAACTAAACAGGCTTGCTACATCTTCCTTGTTGCCTTTGGTATAAGCTTTTCTTCTCTGCTGAGACTGCTGCCTTTGTAAACTTGAGTCTCCCATTCCTGTCTAAAAGGAGTTTGTGTACATAGGCCATAGGGACTCACTCCTCACTTTAAGTCTTCATTCTAATCAAAATCATTTCTCTCTTAGTTTTTATTTTACTTTCACAGTTCCTAAATCTCTCATTTAATAGAGAAAATTGCTTTAGTTAACGAAGATTTTCCTAATATCCAAGTGAATGCAAATAAAAAAATTCTGGCTTAGTTACTCTACAGGTAATTACAAATAACATAGGTATACTAATTGGTTAAATGCTAAATTTACCACTTGTTTGTCTTGTATTTATTATTTTGATATACTTTCAGATTTATAGAAAAGTTGCAAAGATAGTATAAAAAATTCCCAGATATCCTCCACCCACATTCTCCAAATGTTGAAATATTTCTCTTTTGCTTAATTTTTTCCCCCTTCCTTTGCCCTCCTCCCAACCATTTAAGAGTAACTTGCCAACATGATGCCCCATTTTCTTATATAAGCACAATAAAAGTTTCAAGATTGGAGGATTAACATTAAATACTGTTACCTACCAGAGACCTTAATGAGATTTTATCCATTGTCCCGATCTCCTACAGCAAAAGAAAATCCAATTTAGTTGACTTCAGTTTTTGTTTTGATCAGCCTATCTTTAAGACTTTCTTGTTCTTTATAAAGGGCTTTGAATGTTGTTGGAAAATAACATTAACAAGGTTAGTGAAAATAAAGTTAGTGTAAACTGATAGGAATTAATAGCTGATTCAGTAGAAGGAAAATGAATACCTGATCCTTTGCTCACTTATGGAATATTTTGGGGGCTTTGTTCCGTAGGAAAAGACGACACAGCACATCCCCTAGCCCGTCTCGCAGTAGCAGTGGTAGACGAGTGAAATCCCCTTCACCCAAATCGGAGCGATCAGAGCGTTCAGAAAGATCTCATAAAGAGAGCTCACGATCCAGGTCATCTCACAAAGATTCTCCTAGAGATGTTAGCAAAAAGGCCAAAAGGTAAATGCAAGTTATTTTTTTGTAATATTTCAAATGCCAGTTTTCTTGTCATTTCACCAGCTTTTGAAAATAATTTGGCTGGCAACCATTTTTTAAAGGGCTTTAGAAAACCAGAGAAGTATACTTTCATTTTAGATTATTCCTTCCCACCTCCCCACCCCAGTCTCCTCATGACTAAAGCACAAGAAGGCTTCCAACAAGTAAAGACCAGCCAAGAATTTTAAACATTATATCCAGTGTTTTCTGTGGACTAGGGGTAGCTGCTTTACTTTTCATTCTGTTCTTCAGTTTCTATAAAATATTCTTTGATTTTGTCAAGGCTGAAAGGAGAATACTTTACCCCCTCCCTCCTGCCCCTGCATCTTATTAGCAAGTTCTTGGGTAGAGATTTGTGGAAATAAATACCATTCTTCAGTGGGTAATTTAAATGTGTGTTATATACTTTTTTTCCTTGTAGTTCCAGAAAAGTGGTTAAGAAATGTTTTATTCATCTGGTGTTACATAGTGGAATTTTCCTGAGAACTAAAACTGCTTTATATCCTAAAAATTTATTTTTGTGACCATTTTTAGTAAAATTTTTATAAAAGATAAGTTTTTTCCTTTTCTAAATGGCACTTGCATATATATAAAGTGTATTTATTTGTTTTGGTAATCTTCATGAACTGCACTTACAGAATTACGGTATCTTAAATGATTCCCTTGAATGATATGCAGTAGTTGGTGCTTTTTCCTTCAAGAAGATAGGTTGTAACACTTTTTCAAAAATTTAGTGAATGATCTTAGATGCCATTTTGAACTTTATCTTGCAGATTTAGAGGTTCAGACTAAGGGATCTATCAGTAACCTGGGGAACTTGTTAAAATTGCAAATTCCCAGTCCCTGCTTCTTGGGATTTTGATTAAATAGAGCAGTGGTAGGGCTCAGGAATCAGTCTTTTTAAGCAAGCACACCGCTCATAATCATTGATGCAGTGCACAGAAGGTGCAAAATTACGTGTGTGTGTGTGTGTGTGTAAAGTAGGCAAAATATGAATTTGGGAAGTTTACAGCCTTTTTTATTTCTGACTTTCATTGTGCTCTGTTAAAGATCATTTTAGGTAATTGAAGGATGGTCCATTTTGATCATATGAGTGCTTTGATAAATTGTTTGTTTGTTTCCTCAGATCACCATCTGGTTCGAGGACACCTAAAAGGTCTAGGCGATCACGGTCTAGATCCCCTAAAAAGTCAGGGAAGAAATCCAGATCCCAGTCCCGATCTCCACACAGGTCTCATAAAAAGTCAAAGAAAAACAAACACTGACATAAATTTTTAAGATGCTGTCACTTATTGGAAATGCAATTTTGTTTTGTGCCTGAATGGTCTGTTTTTTTAAAAAAAGAAAACAACAAAAAATCAAATGAAAGAGCATTCCTGGATTTTTTGTTTTTTTGTTTGTGAATGCATGTGTAAACTCATGAGTAACTGCATCTGTAGACCTGTCATTGTTTTATATTGTATAAATTACTTTCGTTGTGGCTGTTTCTCAAGATGAAATTTTTATTGTGCTAATGAATTTCATCAGAAATGTGTATAATGGATCTGCTGGCAGTAGTAGTATTTTGTTTTAGGATGTTGTGACTTAGCAAAAATAATACAGATGTCTTCTCCCCTTTTGTAGCTTTGACAATTTGAATTAGATTTCAAATAAAATCTGAACAGAAAACTATAATGTTGTTTTTTTGCCCTATTGGTGACATCAAGTCCCTTAAAGTTCTACCAAGTGAGTTTAGCACTTCCGTTGTTTCTTATACTTAATGCACTTTATAAGCTCCACTGGTCAAGTAGCTAAAGTTTTATATTTACTAAGATGACTATCAAAATTAAGGGACCTAAGACTCCTATTTGGTAGGTTTGCCAACCAACTTCTTTGATGAGGTTATCTTGGGTAATACTAGTCCCCAAAGATCAAAAGACTAGGGAAAGGTGGCATGGTCTTTTTTTGTTAATGGTATGCCTGGCTAAAATATTTTTTCTTTTATCAAAGAAGCAGTATGATTTCAGTGTACTCAGCTTGTATGTCCTGAGCAACTACTTTTTTTTAGGGACAAATTAAATCTCCATCTTTTGATTTCATCTTCTATCATGAAAGAAGTTTATTTATAAAATAAATTTTCTAACAAGAGTTGGCCATAGAAGTTTTTTGTATGATAATTGCCCTTTTACATCCCCCTGTAGGTTATCTTTCAAACATTGGTATCAGTATATTTCTGCAGAGTTCTTTTTAAAGCACCTTAGGTTTTTGTGTTTTGTTTTGTTTTGTTTTGTTTTTAGAATTGAGTTTTAGGTTTATCTTTAAGTAAAGCTTAAAAGTAAAATAGTTTTCAGGAAACTTAACATCCGGTAGTTTGTAAATTCAAGGTGCAAAAAGTTGATTTAAACGATTTGCCTAGTTAAAATCTGTCATACAATGGGAATAAAATTGTTGCAGTATGAGGAAGAAATAAGGAAACTTGTATAATGTTGATCATAATATTGCTATCAGTATAATGTAATAAAGGGTTATGTAGACTTGAATGGACACTACTATTTGTGAATCTTTCAGTTTTTCTGGACACTTTATGCAGTGGTTTGATGGTTTTTGTTTTTTCCTTAATAGAGAGCATAGAAAACCATTCTAATATGGATTGTTTTGAGTTACTTTTTTAAAACTATATTTTCAAGTTGTTTTATTTAATGCTGCCTAGTTACAAATCAAATAAGCTGTACTGATGATTTGGGGAGTAGGTGTATTAGCTGGCAGTGAGGTGTGCTATTTCCAAACTGGGCAAACCTATAGCATCTTTACAAATGAGCCAGTCCGATTATTTGACTTAATGGTTCTTACCAACATGCAATATTTCTTGAAAGTTATTCCCTTATTGTTCACTCTTTTGTTTGTCCATAATGTTAGGGAATGTTAATTCCTAAATGTTTGCTCAGAATAATTAAACATGAACATTTGGTGCTGGTTTCTAAAAACCTACAGATACAGCCATTTTTAAAAACCTACAGATATAGCCATTTTTTAAAGTAACGTGTTTTTTCTCCCCTGTTCATTGCCTGGGGGGAGGGAATTTTATATATTACCTTTTTTTGCAAAAATAACAGTAATGTTGAGTTCCTGGTGATTTGGGCATTCCATTATTATTTGGTATCTAGTATAGGCTTAGAAATAATTGGACAGGAAATGATTTTTGCAGTCAAATTACAAGGAATGCTTATTTCCCTCTCTTTAAAAAAAAATATCCTGAAGAAGGAGGAGTGAGTAGAAATTGTTAGGTCAGTTTGGGGTTCTTATTTGTATTTTTCCTACTGCAGTGGAATTTAGCAGTTCTTTTAATGTGGATCCACATACAACGAATATCTTACGGAGGGTAAGACTGGCTTCCTTTTGGGTGGGTGGGTGGGTGGGGATTGCTTAGGGTTGATAGAATATGTGTTCTGTAAAGTTTACTAATGTGTGTATTAGATTGTATTGGATTTTTTTTTCCTGGAATTGCAAACGGTTATTTCCAATTTTACTTAATGAGGAAATATCTAGAGTAAGCCTGTTTAATTCTTCATGGATTCTATGAAAGTTTAACAGGATCAGAAATTGGTGAATTCTAAGGAGGGAGATACTTTACCATTTTTTTAAAAAATAACATATTATTCATGTTTCACATCTAAAGAACACTTGATTAGATAGCAGAATTTCTACAGGTTGACTAAAATGTTCATAGGGTGACTTTCTAGTTATAGGAAATACCCTCTTCCAGCTCTGTAATAGACGGTTATTATGCTCTACCATAACTACAAGTAAGACGAAATCCTCTGTTACCTACTCTTCTCATAAAGGGTGTGGCTTAAACTCTTTACCCTCTATCCTAACATTTATACACAGGGATTTCTTAACAGGTTAATACCATTTAATCTCCTTTTCCTACACTGAGAGAAAGTAAATAAATGGTGGTCTATTTCTTGCCAAAGAGAGACCTATGATTGAAAAGGATCATGTTTGTGTATCTTTTCTTTGACATTGTATTTCCTTATTACCATTAGTTAAGCATATGGGCATTTCTAAATTGTAATATGTTGAGAAGTTAGAGATTAAAGAACTAAAACAACAAAAAACCCTGACCCAAAAGAATGCTTTTATGATGCTCAGAATGTTCTCAGCTTTTCTGCTAAAGTTTGCAGAAACCACTAGACACTGACCTAATTTTTCTTTATTGCAGACCATTCCTGTGAGCTAACCCTGAGACTTTTATCCCAATTAAAGAATCTTAGAAGAAATATTTGCTTATGACTTCGTATTTTTTCCCCAGATTTTAATAGTCTTGAAAATATTTTTAAGAAGTTCCAATCATGATTTAATTTAAGTTTATTAGACATGTTCTCTACACATTTGCCTTTGCGATCACATAAATTCTGAGATTATGTGGCCGTGATAATAGCCTATCATTATGATTATTAGAAAATGAGAGCAAATAAATCCCTGTATTGCCAAAGTGACTTAAGCTATTCTGATGACCACAACAGTGTGATTTCTTCAACAGAGAAGGTTGTTTTTAAAAATAAATAGTACCACTTTTCTAAGACTGTACATTTACGAAATACGAGCTTTTTTCTTTGTTGTTTTCCTTTTATACTTTAATGGAAAAGCAAATCACAGAAAATTCAGTTCAGATAGTAATGAAGACGCTAGTCTAAGTTTAAAAGAACACGTGACTAAAAACTCACAAAGTGCTTGCTTTCTTCCTATTTCAGAAGCAGGTTTTAGACAGATTGTCGGGGGTAATTTGTTGCCCTTTTGGCCTTTTTTCTTCCTTTTTGGTATAAACTTCCCAGGACTTAGATAAGCCACAAATGCAGATCCCAGGGGAAGTGTTGTGATGATAGACTAAAAGGTGGGAATGTGCTGCTGTTGGGAGCGAGCCATGTTCCATTGTTGAAAATTCAATGCCTCAGTGTTTGTTCAGTACCACCTCACGGAGCTTCGGTGTAAATGGATTATGTGTATAATTGGTTATTTATATAGTTTTGTAGCTCTATAGATAAAATGCCCTCGTTCATTTTCACATGTAATTGTGCTCGGAATATTTGTTCTATCCTTTTACTTCAACAGGCTCTTGTACGTTACATCTCTGGTGATTTGAAATATCAGGAAAGACAATTTTTTCAGGAATGAGAATAATATAGTTGAAATCAGCTCAGCTGAAATACTTTACAGCAAGACAATTTCTTTTGGGTGAACTGATTCCATAATTTAGTTACTCTTGATGTAAGGATTAAGTTTATTGTGGAGCTGCTTTCCAGACTGTCACTTTATAGTTTTTCTACATAAAGATTATATAGTTGCAAAGGTTGTGGGATTTCCCTTTTGTTGTTGTTTTTTGACTTTTAATTACTTTAATAAAAATACGTTGTTTTCATAGCAAACTTTAGCCTGTTCATGTAATTTTCTCCATGTAGTTTTTCTAATGCAAGCCCAGTAAACCGTGTCTGGTTTTCAGCAGCTTTCTCTCAAGTGAAATAAGTGATGTGTCACATTTATCAGTTGTAGTTAAAATGTTACATTTTCTATGTTTAAACTCTAATAAAATATTTTCATGATAGATGATTCTCTTGATTAGGAAATTTTATTATTGGTTTCCCCTTTTTTAAAGGGTAATTTTGTTCCATCTTATTTCATTGGGGAAGATTTAAACACAAAAAAAGTAGAATGAACATCCCAAATGACTATCACCTTGCACATATGTCTCCAAATGTTTCATTTTTTAAACCTAACATAACCACAATATCATTATTACATTAAAAATAATCCATTGGTTTCTTTTAAAATTTAAAAATTTTTAATTGTGGTAAAATACTCATAACAAAATTGACCGTCTTAGCCATTTTTAGGTGTATAATCCAGTAGGGTTAAGTGTGTTCACATTGTGCAACCAGTCTCCAGAACTTTTCATTTTACAAAATTGAAACTGTAACAATTAAGCAACTCCTCATCTCCCCACCCCGCAACTATTTTACTTTTTATTTCTGGGAGTTTGACTACTCCAGATAAGGAAGTGGACTCATACAGTGTTGGTCTTTTTGTGCCTGGCATAATTCACTTAGCATAATGTCCTCCACGTTCATCCATGTGGTAGCATGTGCACTGGTTCTTTTTTAAAACCTACTTTTTCTTTAAAGTTTCTCTATTTCCTTTCAGAATTTGAAAAGGATTTTCCCCAAATGGCACATTAGCATTTTCTATTTTGAGTAAAAACTTCAAAAGAAAACAATGTAATACCAAGTACATATGCCAACTACTCCACACCACTTTTTTTTACCATTTTTACCACTTTCTATGCTGTGTCCTCTTTTAATGGTTATGTGTAATTTCACATCAACATTTCATAGCACGGGGTACAAAGTATACTTTCAAAGCAAGCTATGTGATTTTGAAATTGTAATGTATTAATATGTGACCATACTCATGCCTTTTTTTTTTTTTTTAAAGATTTTATTTATTTGACAGAGAGAGACACAGTGAGAGAGGGAACACAAGCAGGGGGAGTGGGAGAGGGAGAAGCAGGCTTCCCGCAGAGCAGGGAGCCCAATGCGGGGCTCGATCCCAGGACCCTGGGATCATGACCTAAGCCGAAGGCAGATGCTTAACGACTGAGCCACCCAGGCGCCCCAATGCCTTTTTTTTTTTTTTAAGTTATTGCCTGATGAAAAGGAAAATAAAGCTTTGGCATTTAGTAAATGTAGTATTTGGATTAGATACTCATTTGCCACAAAGAAGAAAAGCCCCATTCTCATTTCTTTTGTTTTACCCTAAGAAGACACAGAGCTTCAAACTGTTTAGCGTAAGAAACTTGTTTTTTTTTTTTTTTTTTTTAATGTTCAATGATTCATTAGTTGCCTATATGCTTTTTGATTTTTAAATGAGATGTGCATGGCCAAGTGTGGAGGGAGAGGAAGAGCCTGGGCTGTGGAGTCCTGTTTGGACTGGAATACCAGCTCTTCTCTGCTACTAGCTGTGTCATGTTTTGGAATCTAATTTTCCCACTTATGAAATGGGTAATAACCTTGGGTGTTTATTTTAAGAGTGAAATCACATGTAAATCACTGACACATATTGTCACACAGTGGTATTTAAAATTAGTAACAGTATTCCTGAAAGCTAATGATGGGAACATCTTTTAACTAAAGTAAAATGCTATCAATTCCATAGCATTGTAACAGAATTTATAAACTCACATTGGGGATATGTTGGTGTATTGCACACTGAGTATCAGTAGATAATCTGTCCCAGTCATACGTATGATATTTGTTAATCTCCTTTAAGAAAAACTTTTATTAACTAGGTTTTTAAAAATACTTATTAGTTGTTATTTGTTATTGTAGAACTCCATGATCAAGGTTTCTGAAAGGAAGCCTGTAAAGGAAAAAGTGTGAACAACTTAAATAGGGCATATGGGGAAGGAGCCTGAAGAATGGTATGAAATATGATGAAGCACTGGATTTTTTGCCCAAGTTCAAAGTAAAACATATAAAAATAACAA